GCAGCACTCTTCAGGGTTTATCCCAGGTGAACACGCAATAATTACTCTGCTCTTCTGTAAATGCTTGTGGCTTGAAGTTCAAAACTTGAAAGTGCTGAACAACAAAATCAGTATCTGAGCAGCTTTCTCTATTTAGTTACTATTTAACATCCCCAGGTAGTTCGAAGAAAGGAGATTAGGAACACCAAAAACAACCTTTGAATGTTGCAAATGAGGATGGATTAGTCAGAAAATACTCGAGAGTAAACAAAACGTTATTAACCTGTTACTATTGAGGAAAGAGACCATGTTGGTTGACCTCAAACTGTCTAGAGTCCGATTATGGTGGATTTGGTGTACTTTGATGGATGGTTTGACTGCAGCAGGAAGGAAACACAACCCAGAAGGCTGGCAGGGGGTCTGAGCATGAGGCGTCATGACATGGGATATTGTCGGATATTGCGAAGTGTTCCTGGAGACTTAAGGGTATCAAAAGCATCTATCAACGTTTTAATCAGCAATTGATTTCCTTCGTAAAATGTGATTTTCTTCAAATACAAATAAACGTTTTTGACCCATGTTCTGAAAAACGTCTTTGAGCTAAATTGGTCGAGCTAAATCAAAACAGGCTAAATCTACTTGATTGAATGGACTACTAACACCGAGCTTTGTGACACATTTTGTTTTTTGAAAAAATTACACTTTTTTTCCAGTTAGGTATATTTTCAATGTGCTCCAGGTTGACTAAACGCCAGTCAGAAGATTTAAAAATCTGGACATTAAGAATTTTCCAAACTCAATGGAACATTTCTATTAGCAATCCCTTTTTACCACTAAAATGTATTTATAAATGTAAACAGATACTGAACTCTGATCAGTAAGAGAAAACATTGTTAAATAAGAATACGAGCACCGGACTGCAGCAGGTTAGTGGAGAAATACTGTATATTTTTTCTCCACTAACGGTTGGAAAGAAAGTTTATTTATAGGAACATCTCAGCAGGATCAATATAATTCATATTAACACACAGAGAACATGATTCATTGTTTTAATCAAGTGTCAGCCATAAAACGCAGTAATAATCTGTTTTCTCATGAGTAGGAATAAATAAGAAGAACGCGGAAGAAGTTGTGCAAGTAGTCCATTACATTTTACAGAAGACAATGAACAAACAATGCATCTTGTGCATAAGACAAGACAAAAACAAGTATTTAGCACAATCAATGCAGTCCGACTCATGAATAAATCGTCTTTTGAGATGCTTTGTCTAGTAAATCAGTCAAAAAGTCTCAAAAACTTGCGTCAGATCAACTTAGGAAGTTATTGAACTACCATCTAATAGTTTCTTTGCAATAAAAGAGGGGTTTAAACATAAAAACATTTCCCTTTTAATCTAATAGTAAATAATCAATAATGAGTTAAAGAAGCAGCTTTTGGGAACAGGGCAAGAATAGTCATCCATATTAAGCGGGCAAATTAATTTCAATTAGTGAGTGATTTCCTGCACCAAATGAGACGGTAAGGTGACCATCTATAACCTGAAAGAAATCCATGACTCTGTGATACATTTTACTGTGATGAATGAAGGCGCATGAGGCCGACTCATGTCTTCAAATACTGAATCAGTCACAAAACCTCTTCTGTCAAATAGGAATCTTTGTCAATGACTGTAAAATCAAATCACTACAAAATCCTCCTGCTGTTTACCACAGAATGACAAAACCACAGATCATTTTAGCATCAGTCCTTCAAACAGACACAAACCCTTTGCTCTCACTCCCTTCTCACGAATAAACACAAACCGATCCCCAAAAGCTTTCCTTTCAAGAACAAAAATGCCGAGCAAGCTGTCATAAGCAGCCAGCCTCGTTCTCCGAGTCTGAAAGTGAAAGGTTTTACTTATTCATCTCTGCGCGCCGCCGTACGGGTCCTGCTTTCTCAACCACAGAGCTGCCGCTAGCCATGCCTCATCTATGTTGCATGGTGGGTCTATTTATAGCCAAAGACTTTTAGCAACCATTGGATTAATCACATGGCATCACCACAATGAGACATGTATAACTTTTTGTCAGACAAGCAATAAATTCCCACAACATTCAGCCTGCAATGGCTTTATGACAGTAAAGTGACCTGTTTCATGCAAGTCAGCACAGTCTTTTGTCTTTTTAATGAATATTATAATAGGATTACTAAAAACAACACTGTGAGATTAAGATTTAGTAGCAGCAGTAGCCCACTTTTATACTTCAGACCGGATTTCTACGAAGCAAAATGACTGCCATTATACGGGAGACGTGTTGCTGTTGGCCGGGACTGCATCGCTGCTTATTCAGCAGTCGGAGTTTTAAAAGGGCAACAGCAGATTGAAATAATCTCATTTTCCCCAGCCTGAGGGATTCAAACTGAGCTACACGCCACAGCAGGAGAGAGGGAGTGAGCTTTGTTTAAATGCCCAAATCTCAGCAGTCACACTCTTTGAGGTACTACACACAGATGGCCGCTCAAAGCATATGACAGCCCCAATTACGCTACTACACACTGCCAATACGCAAACACGCTACTGACTGGCTTTTTTATTCAAACAGATGAAACTTAGGGAGCTTCCAGCATGTGAAGCATTGATATTGCTAATATCAGTTCCATACGTCAACAATTCAACCTTTGCCTTGATGCTCGTGTAGGCTAGTTCAAGTCTGAAACGAGACTTGCATATAACTCCTTTAAATGTTGCTAATATTGCAAAATAATCTACACTGCTCACGTCTAGGGAAAACCCCAAACTTAAAATGTAATATAATGTAGAGTAATATAAAGTAATGTGATAGGATAGGATAGATGATTAAAGGGATACTCCACTTTTTTTGGAAATAGGCTCATTTTACCACTCCCCCAGAGTTTAAAAGTTGAGTTTTACCGTTTTCAAATACATTCGGCCGATTTTCTGATATTTAGAAGAATATCAGTAACCAGACAGTTTCTGGTCTCATTGACTTCCATAGTATATTTTTTTTCCTACTATGGAAGTCAATGGGACCAGAAAACTCTGGGTTAGTGGCAAAATGAGCCTATTTCCAAAAAAAGTGGAGTATCCCTTTAAGCGTCATTTCAAATCCCTAACCCATAATCCATAAAACCAAAAGCAACACTACTGCTATATTAAAAACAGCATACATTTCCACATATTTTTTTTTTTATTAATTATCAGTATTATTCTGATTTCTGCAGCCAAAATGTGATGGGTTTAGCTGTAGATTTTAAGTGCATTGCAAGGAAGAGTCAGAGACGGACTGGAACGACATTAAGCAGCAACTGTAATGAGTCCCTCTGGAACCTCCTGCTCTCTCCACCCTATAACATCACATCGCACAGAGAACAAGCGCACAGGGATCATGTTTATCTTCCCAATTAAAGCTGGTAATTGGTCAGGGAGTCAGGGGTCGGTGAAATACTAACATATACGTAAAACACACAGGTACTGACTACTAAACATTCAGTTATCATTTTGAGCAATAGCATTCGCGAGCTGCTATTAAAATAAACTGCTTGGAGAGTGAAAGCTATACGAATTGGAGAGAAAGAGAGAGAGAGAGAGTAATTTTCCAATGTCAATCCAGAGTAGCAGGGGGCCTGAGCTGACAGTTTTTCTCAAATCACATCCCCTCTGGACAGGTAGGGTTCATTAGTCTGGGGACCGGGACCTTCAGCACAGCTGATCCTTATCCACAGAGTAACTGACTTTTACCGGAGGCAAGACTAAAATACAGTGCCTCCCTGAGGCTTGAGACTGTGCCGTTGCACTGAATTTTTGGTTGTGAAAAACACTTGACACTGATGAAGAAAAGAAACAGCGCAAATGGCAAGACAATTCCAAACCAAGAAGCAGGTACTATAGTCTCACAACATACTATTTATTGTATGTAAATAAATAAATACATTAAAAAAAAAATGTTTACATCGGGGCTTCTCATTGAAGGAACCACTTTTGAGGAACTACTAGGAACAAGTAAACATATTGTTTAGCACACCTATATTTCACATTTACATTTACATTACATCATACATACAGTACCTAAATGACTTGTAAGAGATCTACTATTCTGATATCTTCAATGAGACAATGAGAGTTGATATATATATATGAAGAGTTCAGATGCAAAAGCCTCTAAGTGCCATTTGAAATTTTCTTCTAGAATGATAATTTTTATCAAGCTCGTATATTTAAGTTCAGTAATTTCACTTAAATGGCAATGAAGATTACCTATGAATTGTGTCATATTTTGGTTATACTGCATATATATATATATAATTACTAATATACATTACGTAATAATAAAATGGCTCAAATTATTTAAATCTGCTTGAGGGCAGACAAGATGTAGGTTTTGATGTGACTGGCAGGCCGCTATGATACCGTATGGACCTCATCAGTTAGAATCACTCCCAGTCATTAATGGCTGTTCTCATCCAGCACAGATAGAGGCAGGAAGCAGCTCACTGATCAAAGGAAAGTGGTATCAGAATCCGTCAAATCGCTGAATCTCATTCATCACCTGACGGAGGTGATCTGATCTGAACTCTGCTAAAGTCCTCAAAGTTACATTCATATAAATCACTTGAATTATTTGAGCTTCAGCTAAAAAAAAAAAAAAAAAGATTTATGGGTCCTATTATCAAATGACACAGTGAAAGAGACCAGCAATGTAATGAACTGTAATATTTTGCCAAATTTCCACAGTTACGGAAAATGTGACTCGTTCATTTAAATCTTGTCAGAACTTCTTACTCTCTTAAATGAGCTTTCCCCTCAACCGCTCAGCACTTGGCTCTTTCATAGCCTGTCAGAGACCTTAAATGTGTGGCAATCCACTATCTCTACTATTAAATCACACAGTACTACTAGAATTGTGGATGCATATATTTCAAGTATTACAAAAAACGTTAGCACTTCCTGTAATCAGTCAGGAAATACATTAATTGGTGAATGATTACTTTTTGTTTGATTCATAACAGGACGTCTTACCTGTCTTCCCCTTGCATCTCTTTGACTCCTTTTTGAACGACCTCTCGAGTTGGCGTCATCTCAGGTGGGCGACCAACATTTCGAGAGTAAAGGTCGACATTCCGAGAGTAAAGACCTCCGTCTGTGTGATACCTTAATGGTTAAACAACAAATACACAGTGAGCATTTATCTGGGGGTTTGACAATGTTGGTTCTTGCAAATTTATGCAGACGCATTATATTGAATATATATATATATATATATATATATAATCATTAAAAACAAAAAGAGCTAAATAAATAAATAAATTTTCTTTGTCAAAAAATAGAAATAAAGATGAAAATATTTAAGAAAAAAATCATGACAAAATTACTAAACCTAAATATTAAAAATAACTTGAAATTAAATGAAAGTGATTCAAAATTATTATAAATAGTATAATAGAATATAAATAACAACAAGCCGTTGTGCACAGATGCAAGCATCATTTTTACTTTCAACTTACAGTATGTAATGCTTTTTGATGAGATTCAGTTAATTAAATATATGCCATAGATTAGCACTAACGTTACGATATTTAGTGCAATACTTCTGCAAATTGCTGTTTTAGGCAGATGCACTGCCTGCAAGTTTGAGCTTTATTGTATTTAGTATCGCCTAATCCATTGCTTTCATGCGAGTTTCTTCAGGTACATGGTACACACTTTGGTTCCCTTGTGAGTCGGTCTTTTATAAACTTAATTTCTAGAGTTATTTTTCTCTCAGTCTATTCATCAGCATAGAGACAGCAAGGGCAGAAGCAATAGTGCATCACACAGTGATGTATACGTGACCCTGAGCTATTCCTCCAAACAGAGACATATGATGGTGGAGTGTTTCTCACCCATATAATGATATTGAGAAACAGCTGTACTCCCTCTTTGCTTTGATGGAATGAACATAAATGTTATAAATCAATCTTTTTTTTTAAGCATTCTCTTTATGAACACTGCATACAACAACAGAAAAAGTGATTGATTGTTCGACTGGCCCGATTAAACTATGAGATGTAGAAGAAGAAAAAAAAATCAATCTTCAAAACAGTTGGGCTGCTTAACATTGTTTGTGGAAACCGTGATGCATTTTTTTCATGATTTTTTGATGATTAGAGTGAATAGCATTTATTTGAAAAAGAAATCAGATAACATTAAATGTCTTTACTGTCACTTTTGTCCTTGCAGAGTACCAATTAAGCATTCATTTCTTGGAAAACACCCCTAAAAAGTATTGTTTTTTATGGTTTGTTATCCAATATGGTTTCTAATTTTGTAGTTTCTTACCCACTGATATCGTCTGCATGTACATTCTTGGCGAGTATGTCCCCATCACTCCCGTATCCGGTCACGTCCACCTCTGGCCCCGCTTCAGAAACCCCACCTTTCTCTCCCGGCTCTGACCCTCGAACCCCTGAGGCTGCCGCTCTCCTCAGGGGGGCAGTGTATAACAACCTCGACGAGTCACCGTAGCGACCAGTGGTGCCAGCACTGGATCTGGGCGGGGTGAAGCTAGGAGCATCGCCGGCCTGAAGACGAGGATTGGACCCTTGGGCGAGACGCCAAGACATGGGGGAAGAGCGGCTCGAGAGGGCAGGGAGGCCACGACCGTTCACTTCTGTAGTTACAGTGGTGTCGAATGTTGTCTCAAGGGTACTGCAAAGAAAAAAATGAGGAAGAGAAGGAGATTAGAGGAGAGATTTTGGGGACTGCAGACGTATTTGGGTAATTAGATCAATATCCTGCTTCTGAAACAGCTGACTTGGCATTAAAAGGCATAAATATCTAACACCTGTGCCAAGGGGAGGAGTTTGCTTGACAGTTTGAGGGCCAATCTGTACCCTGCAATGCAGCAAAGTTTCTAAAGTAAAGTTTGGAGTTTCAAATATCCACTTACTATTTCAATGGTGCAAAAAAACAAAACAAAACAAAAAAACATTCAAACTGTGTGACTTACACAAATGTGTTCGACAACTAAAGTGATTTGCTCCACAACTGTTGTGCGCATCAGGAAAGATTTCAAATTACACTGATGTTCTAAAGTTTAGGGTTGATAAGATTTTTTTAATGTTTTTGCCATCATTAATGAAGGCTAAAATTTTATTTTAATTTTTTTAATTTTTTTGTTGCTAAATACAGCAATAGCTAGTATGATTTAGAAAACTGATGTTAAACAAAAATAAATAGCTAATAATATATGTGGTATTAGTGAATTATTTAAGTTTATTTCCAGTTTTACCAATCATTAGTTTTTATTTCAGAGATTCCAAAACAAAATAAAAATGGCTATGAATTATATATATATATATATATATATGATTTTTTGGGGGGTTAAAATATGGACAAACCCAGTAATTGGGTTAACATTTTAAATGACATTTTTAACCCAAAGTTTGGGTTTGTCCATATTTTACCCAAAATTGAGTTGAGAAATTGAAAATTGAGAAACAACATTTTTAAAGTGTAGGTTGGTTGATTGATGGATGGATGGATGGATAGACAGATACTGAAAAAAAAAACTATATCTAAAGCAAACTGTTAGGAAGAAGAGTTTTATATTAGACAGCGTCTCTTTCCACAGCAGGTCTTCTATCTGTAGGTTGTGAGTGTTCAGCGTGGCGAGAAGGACCCAGCTGAAGCAGAAAGATTGCCAATGTGGTTGTGCTTGATTTCTTCTCGCCATAAAATGGAAACTATTCCCATCTTTCATGTCTAATCCACTTCAACGAGCATCAGGCCATCAACAAGCGTATTACCGTGAGCACAACTTCAGTCTGACCTCCTGACCTTTGATTGTGTGAATATAAATGTGTGAACTGATGTGTGTATAGGTGTCTCCACACGTTCACAAGCTTGTTGATGCGGGAACGTGTGAGAAAACAGCATATGGACACATGCTCAAATGCAGACGCCCATAATGACACACCCGTCATACAAGAAGACTGTCCTGCAACAGCTCTCTCTAGTGGTGAGACAATCACATTGCGGACATATTTTCAGGTTCACGTTCTATTTCAAATTATGCATAAATATTTATCATTAAATATACAAATTCATGAATATAAAATAGCTTGTTGAAACAATGTCTACAAGCATATATCCCAAAAAATCCCCAATAAAATGACACTCAGTTATTCACATGAAGGGACAACAGCAGGGTGCCGAAAACAAGTGTCACTTAACAAATAAGTCATCAGCGCCAAAGCGCCGTTGTCATGACTACAGAACCGGCATATTAATATCCTCTCCATCAAAGTCCATTCCGAACGAATCTCATTAGAGGTTAGCAAGCATGAAAGCTGGTTAACAACATCCTTCGAAAGAGATACGCTTTTTTATGTACTGTGAAAAAGCAAACTACAGTAGTATTAGAGACCAAAGATACATGTATTGATTTGTATTGAAAAATCCAAGGGTCTAATTTACAGAAACAGCGTTCCTGCCTAGTGTTGTTCTGTTGTGCTGTGGTATATTTGAAACCAGCATTAAGTGTGTGGACGCTCTTGTTATGAAATACACCAGAGAGTTGTGACTCAGCAGCAATGAAGGGTGGATACCGAGCCAGAGATGGTCTCGCTCATGGCTGATCAGTGTTTTATATAGATAGAAAACAAACACGCACATATTTGAACAGTAATATTGAATTTCACAGTCAGAACACATTAGGTCGGTTTATTATGTAGTTGTTGTTTCAAAAAATGGTGCAAATATGTGGGAAAGCATGTATGTACAAATACACAAACAAAAAAACTGACAGAAAAAAAAAATGGATTAGATGGATTCATGCAGGAGGGCATGGATACTTCAAGTTTTGCAGTTTTGCATATTTCTTGTTAAATTACTGTGGTACTTATAATAAGGTTTGAATTGTCAACATGAATTTATGAATATCCTGCTCTAACAATTAACGTTTTTACAGCATTTATTAATCTACAGTAAATTCATGTGCCTGTATAATACATCAACTATATGGCCACTTATCCCAGCATTGTGTTCATCAAATAAATCTATTAAAAATAATTGTGGGTAATTGAAATAAATCTGAAATAAAATAAAATATAAATATTTTATTGAAAAATGAACTTAAAAAAATACATAAATAAATAAGTGTAAGCTTATTTGAAGTGCATGCTCTTTTCGTGCATGTATCTTTAAATGCAAATGAGATTCTACTGCTCGTGCCAAAAACTAAAAAAAGAGGAGTGAGCGGATACACACTGCCGATACACATTAAATTAATGTAATAATGAATTTTGCATAATAGGTCCCCTTTAAAATAAGGCTAATTGAAAATATTAATACCTACTATAATAGTATATTTTATTAATTCTAAAATAATTCTGACTCATATAATTCAAAATATGTATAAAATAAATTAATACACGCTGACAAAAGTATTGTTCATTGTTAGTTCATCACACCTAATGTTAATTCATTCAATTTTATTGTAAAGTATTAAGCAAAACATAAGAATATGGGAATACCATCATCCTCACTGACTGGTGTGCAGTGACAGGCTTTTGGGTCATTTTAAAGTCATTTTATTCACTGCCCTCCAGTCACCCAGTATTTTCTAAAAGTGTCTGCTGAACTGTGTAATGTGAGCATCCCTGCAGTATGTGTACTACTCCCAATAGTGTTGAACAAAGAACCCAGACCAACTAAGAAACAATGACTTCCCTTTTCGTCTACAAATCCAAGCCAACAGGAAGTGTATGAGCTGAGGTCTATGGCTCGCTGAGAACATAAATCACCAATTTCGAGTTAGTAAACATCACTGGATGCAGCACATTTCGACAGGTTGCTCTGTCTAATCTATTGATCTCCCGAATCACCCTCTGGCCAAGTCACCAGCATTTATCTTCCTCTCTGACGTCACTCCTCATGACAGCTGACAGTTCCTCTATATATATTCCCGATGTCTCGTCTTCTTGACAGCCCCTCGTCTCTTAGCAACATGCTAGCGCTACTGGGTAATGGTAAGACTGCAGCATTATTCTGAGTCTGCCGTCCTCCTCTGCTATGCCTTGAACGAGTGGCAAGAAATGAAATGGAAAAACAATTATAAAAGCTATACTGGTGATAAAAGTGCTAGAGCTTATTTCAACATCCTCTTACATCAGGAAGTATACGGTAATAATCATGCATGCTTGCTAATTAAAAGGAGCTGTTCTGAAATCTTTTGACATTTTTTATCAATTCATTATGCACATTTTAGAGAATTTTAGGTAAACACTGTGTAAAATACGAAATAAATTAATTTCAGCAGTTTCATGTAGCCTACATCTTATTTATTATAAAACGGTTAGATACAATCCTTAATTCTGATTGGTCAATAGCTGCGCTTTAATCACGACCGCTTCACCCAACGGTTCTATTTATCACTGTGCCCTTAGCAACACCCTTAGCAACCACACGTATCAACATAGAAAAAAAAAAACTTAAGAATTAAAATGGCTAAAATGTTAAAATTAAAAAAAGTCAATTTTGATTTACTAGGTGGAATTGACAATGGATAAGAGTGTTGAGGAACAATGTGGAGAGACTTTTTTTATCTATCAAAATCAATTTATCAAATATTTATTTATTATTATCTCTTGCTAGGCAGCATTTTAGCCACTACATTATTAGCATTAATTAAATAGATTAACCTCTCATCTATCAAAATATGTGCCCATGTGTTTTTATTTAGGCTATGTAAATATTTAGTTTAGTGTAGAGAGATAATGACGGAATAAACAAAAAAATAAATGTTTTCTCATGCTGAGAGATAAGCTATTTGTGTGAGGAAATTTCACAAATATTGTGTTGTAAAAAATATAAAGAATGAGAAATTTTATGGATATTACACATTGGAACGTTGTTGTTCACGGTCAGGGACTATTTTTTCTAGCGGAAGGAATGTTTTTATTGATTAAACTTCATGAAAGTAGCACTAAATATTTTTTTTCACTTTAATATTGTGTAGTAACCGTTTTATAAAAGCAATAAGGTACTAGAGGCTATGCTGTATCGTGAATAAGTCATGGCTGAAGGGCGTTGCAACGACTTAATCTGCCTATACAGTATCTTGTATGGTGTTTATAATGAGTTTCCATCAAATAAATCCCCATGAAGTCTAAATGGGATTTTCATTTTCTTTGAGATGCTGTATTGACCTTGATGCTGAAGATCCCAAACTCATATACTGAGGATTTTTTTTTACCATCAATCAATACAATATTTAAGGTCTGAGAACCTTCCAAACACAAGCACAGGTTCAGATCAATAGAGCTTTGTGGCGTTCCCAGCACTGCAGTGAATACGTGTGTGCAGGAGTTTCTGAAAGAACGTGTGTACTATACTCTTTCAGACTGTATACCAATCATATGGTGTACTGTATGTTTAGAGAATAATGGAAGTCAATTTCAAAAGCTCCTGCGAGATATATGACGTTTGATGGAATCCACATAGTGGGTCAACATCTCAGAAGACGACAGGTCAAATTCCTGAAGACCGAATGATAAATAGCTAGATCGCTATCTTTCCATCTGTCCTGCCCTGAATTACTCAGTTCCATTTGTTACAGTGATTAATAGTTTTTTCCTCATCTTCATTCATCGAGTACACAGCCTGACAGCCGTGCATCAACAACATATACATCTGAGCATTATGAACTCCATACAAAGAAAGGTTGGAGTTTTTTGATTCATGGGCTCTTTACTGGTTAGGTTTACTGTGAGGGAGTGTGAGGAAGTGTCTAACACCTTTTTGGCTCCTTTGAGAAGCAATGTGCTATGAAAAAAAAACAAAAAGGCCAAGCATTGATTTCCAAAGAAGATGCTCCCCATGAGGGAAAGAGAGAGAAAGGCCCAACACCATCTGTCATGTCAGAGCGCTGCCTCTGAACCACTTTCCTGTGAAATTACGTTCATATTGTGAGTGAGATAAAGAGAGAGTCGCAGAAATAGGCCATCCCAGAGCCGGACAAATGTGGTTGCGCTTAAGTATTTTCTTCAGTAATTGGGTGTTTGGGAATTTGGTCCTTACAGGCAATATGGTTTTAATAAATGATTAACTCGACAAAAATAGAGAGCATTTTTCATTTCACAATGAGATTGGTGAGTGTTTTTGTTAGCAAAGATGTTGGCACAGTGAGGGTTTGCATTGTTTTTGAGTGCCAAACTGAGCTCTATCTTTAAAGAAATTAAATTGGCAAAAGATACCCAATTTTTCAAGCGCAGCTGTCACTTTTTGGAACTAATGAACATACTGTTTAACTCAACGGATATAGATGTATATCTTATAAGGCTCACTGCAAAAAGCTTTCCAATTAAGACCAATATTTGGAATGATGACCAAACTAATGATGAACTAACACTCACCTGTGGCTTATCTGCGTCCCACGTAAACTGGACATGGTTTCTTCAAGATTCTGTCTCAGGTCGGCAATGTTCTTCACTGTACGCATCCGTCTAGCCTCTGGATCCTCCCCTGGTGGACAAAGAAAAGAAAACATTGGTTACCCTGTTACAGACGCTTGCTAGTAAATAGTCTGGAAGGAAAAACAGACTCGGCACATGAACCAGTCAAACATGCTGTGGCCAGCGGTTAGTGAGAGGAGGCTGTCTGCTCTTGCATGTCAACTTAGATGCTGAAGTTACAGCTTGCTGTGCAGCTGATGGGATAAAGGGACAGATTTCACGGTCATCACTTTTCCGCGGAGCACAGAGTAATCCATGCGCTATGACACCTCTTCTTAACCCCTAAGCCAGGCTCAAGTTTGGCTGGAGCATGATTTGCCTATAAAAAAGAAATCTGTCAAATTTGAACAGACCGAGTCATTTTACAGTCATTTCCATCCTCATTTTCTGGACAAAAGTGAAGAAAATTAGGTATGAACTCAATAAAGATTATTAATGAGAACTCATTGTATTATTTTTTGTACATGTTCGTGTTGTGTATTATGTTTTATGTATTTATGTATATCGTGTGCTGCTATTTTGGCCAGGGCTCACTTGTAAATGAGATATTTATCTCAATGTGACTATATCCCTGGTTAAATAAAGGTTTAATAAAAAAAATAAATAAATAAAGGAGTAAATTTTAAATTGTCTCAGTGGTTTAAATGATTTTAATCTGTTCCCCCAAAAAGATTCTTTCAGATTAATTCACTGATTCATTCAGTGAATCTTTTTCTGCAGGTTACAGCATTATTGTTATTGACCAAATAGTGTATTGTGAATGAGTCATTGAATTATTCACTCAACCGATTCATTTAAAAATGTACTAAGATACTCCAGTCAGACTGTTTAAACATAAGGGTTTTCCCCAATAATGTCAACAAAGCACATCTTTTTTCTATTTTCTCAACTGCTGGGCATTATGTTTATCATGCTATTTTTTTAAAATAATAATAATAAATCAATAAATGTTAAATTGCAAAAACATCACAATGAAGCTAGGAAAATACACCAAAGGCATTCGTGCACTTTACAAGAAAGAAAAGTTGAAATATTTTTCATTTGTTCATGGCCACAACACCACTAGAACTCCGACTCTGGATCTGCTGAGGTTCAGTTAAGCGTTTCTTTTCCACTGCATTAAACTCATTTAACAAAGACACACAAAGAGCGACACTCATACAAGTTGATGATGGCAGTAGGAGCTCTAATAGCAGGTCTGCATGACTCCCACATCACTTCAGAGACCTGCTTATTTTATCCAGTCACGTCTGGCCTTATCACACCCTGCCTGTAAAATACCGTGTCAATGGCATGATCTATGATATGAAACACTAACAAAACTTATATCCCTATATAATAATACAAATCTGCAATTATACAGTATATGGTGCACTGATCTTAAGTGTGAATTTACTTTGCTTATGTGTTAAATTTGCAGAAACTGTCATTATGTGAGCATTTAAAATGAGCTTTAAATCAAACCTGATTGCACTGTATTACTTTCACAGTGTCTGGAAACGCATTTAGCAAAAAACAAGAAATATAAAAGGTGATTCCCATGTGAACCATAATGGAATGGCATAACAAATCACATTAAGATTTACACCCAGAACTATTTTCAACAGCACCTTCTCACTTGTCAAACACCTCCAGGCCAAACCTTATTTCTTGTGTTATTAAATGTCACCTCATATTTTGTTGGGTAACGCTTCCTTTTACAGTCCTGTTACCCATGTACATACTAAGTACTTATTATAGTAATTACTGGGTAATATCTAGGTACTAACCCTGAACCTACCCCTAACCCATGTACTTACCTTATATTAGCCAGTACTTTCTAGGTAAGTACACATAAGTGCTGTACTGTAAAATTAAACTGCTTAGAGAGCTGGACTCTTATTCATGGATTTTGTCAAATCAATATTGTTTGGTATGCAAACCATCTGACAAACAGAAGCAATCATGTAAGTGAGCCTGACTCAAAAATCATCTGAGTGGAAGTTCTGTCCGAGAGGATTGAAGACATGATGAGAAGCACAACCACATATGAGGGAATCAAGACTGACCATCAATGCAGAGCCAGAGTGCAAACTTAGAGCGATATGAGACAGAACAGGACAGAACTGACAAGATTTCTATGGATGTCACATTCTGGGTTGTAAAGATCCAAAACTGCGGGCAAACCAAGATCTTTTCATATCTGAAAAAGCTGACAAGGTAGTCTTGAGCAATGGAGCACATGTTTGTATTGGTTGCATTATTATGTAAAAACGGGTTATGGGTTTTAAGATGCATTTTAAAAAGTCAAACTGTTTTTGATATGGCATCTAAAAAACTAAAAGTTCACGGTGCAAAACACTGCAAGACATCTATTGTAATGTGTACATACTGTAGACCAACATTCCAAAAAATATCTGTAACCATTCAAAACTATATTGCTTGCAGCTGACAGTTTGATTTGTTACAAAAGATGAATGTGGCGGTAATGATGTAAAGGGAATGACTTTGAGAGACACAACATTTCTGAGACAGATTACCGTGTTGACTTTCTTGTTACAGTGCCATGCTAAAATCCTCTTTGAAAGGGTGCATCTCAAAGTTCATCCCTTTATAGCACACCACATCAAATATTAACTCTCAAAACAACTAAACAGAAAAAAAGAACACTAAACCTCACTAATTAAACTAGTCGACCATCCTGATCCCTACAGCCCAGAGAGGCAAAGCCCTGGAGCACAAACACATACAGAGCCACTGTGAATGTCTCAGACCCTCTTTTACCCAGAAGGCTTATTTTTAGCATTGTAATGGACCGTTCAGCCAAACTGTGTAAGGCAAATAAAGTCATTTCTCTTTTCTGCACTATCTCACATATAGTGCAAAGGGCAATTTAAAACCCACACACATATAGCATACATGTGCATTGCAAATGCATGTGAATCCTGGAAATGAACAAACAATACAAGAGCTTCTGATTTGGGTATTTGATGATCAAGAGGGCTCTGGGTGGTAAACTGCACTTGTTGCCCTCTGGGCGAGCAGACACATTTCTGTAAGCACCATTTGAGCCTGTCAGCAGCAAAGGAAGGTGTGAGGACACACCGCTGGCTCTGTCTGATCAGATGTTAGCTGAGAATTTGCTTTGATTTAACCTCATTGTGCCAGTGTGAAAGATAACCTACACTGGAATCTTTGCAGATTGCATTGTGCTGCTTGTGTTTTGCATAATCCAGAGCTGTGTTGTACCACTCATTTCAAGTGAAAAAGGGTGACACAGCAGGTTTCTGTGCCCTAATAGCGAAGAGTTTAGCCAATTAAATATACCGTAGTGTTAAAGATTAGCAAAAACCTGCTAAAAGGGACCATGACATGAGAAATCAAATTTGCCTTCATCTTTTGAAATGTTCAGTAAGAGGTGTTTGTACCATTAAAACATCCTGCAAGTTTCATAGCTTAAAACGACCTCCTCATTATAAACAAAGCATTTATTTATTACTTTATTTATTCGATTTGACACTCTTAATGGGATATTCAACCGTTTTTTTCAAATTAAACTATGTTATTCCCTTAATTAAGACGAGTTGATACATACCTCTCTCGTGTCAGTGTGTGCATTTTATTTTGTCACCTTCATAGGTCGATTTACACTACTCGTGTAACTGTATTTAAATACGAAAAACGTGGAGGTGTTTGGTCGCTTCTCTGGTTGGCCCATATTGAATAAACTGGGCTAGTTAAGTGCTATCAAAGTGTCTCGCACACCAGAGCGATTGAGTGCATCCACTCTGTGAGACGACAGAGGTATGTATCAACTCGTCTTAGTTAAGGGAATAACTAATATGAAAAAACGGTGGAGTATCCCTTTAAACAGCTCATTTGTGTCTCTGTACAGACTTCAGAAGTATCTTAACGTCAAAAACAACTGGATGGTGTATTTTAAAGGTGTCCCGGATCAGGCTGAAGGATTATATGTTTGTTCGGAGCATTTTGTTTTTTATCAGCGAGGCACAGTCTAATGGAGACTTTGCAAAGAAACTTGAAAGAAATGGACGGCAGCTGCATCACAAACAGTAAGTAAATGATTTCATAATGCTTTGTCTTTAAATTATTTTTCAAAACACTAACTCACATGAAAAACACTTACTCGAGTGGACGTTAAAACCGTTTCCTATAATGATGTTAACCAATAATAACAGTAGCATTTTATGGGATGCATATCATCGTCCACAAGGCTAAAAGCATTAGTCAACAGAATTGCCAGATTGCTTAGAAAAGTAATAGTTCACCTTACATGAAAATAAATAATAATTAAAAAATTTAAAAATAATTATATATATATATATATATATTTATTTTTTTTTATTTTTTTTCTGTCATCTTTTGAAGACTGTTGGGGTTCAAACAACATTGGACTCCAAAAAAGAACAGAATTTTTCTCAAAATATCTATTTTGTTTGTTTCACAGAAGAAAGAAACGTGCATACTGTAGGTTTGGAATGACATAAGGTCAAGTAAATGATTTTCAGACAGAATTTGTAATTTCATGTGGACAATCCCTTTAAGAATTAGCACTAGTAACAGTGACAACTAAAACAAGTAAGAAATAGCTCTCTAAAACATTTAGAGTTAACTCAAATGCAGTGTGAAAGAATGCTGCGACCACACTGAACTACAGGGAACTGAATTACTTCAATAACATGAGTTGGTGGACTTGCGAACAAACAGCCCTGTGGTTGGCGGTTAATATTAGATGGGTGAGGAATAAAAGCATGGATCACACCGACGGGAGGGTAAATAGAGCTATTGATCAGAGGAGCAGACAGCACGGCAATGCTACCGTAGCTGGCAGGTGAGTCTGGCTTCTAAATGTTCTCCCATAGCACAATCAGAGAACCATAACTCACCCTGACATCCCCAACAACCGTTTCTAATGCAGTTACACACAGAGTACAGGGATAAATATGACCATTACTACAGCATCGCACAAGCACGGCACAAAGACTGTTACAGTATGTTACTGATGAGTTTGACTGACTCTGTGTAGCTACTGTATACGGCACGGCACTTACGGCGTGTCTGCGGATTTAAAACCTGCTCCAGGTCTCCCAGCATAGTGAGTATAACCTCTTTATCCAGCTGCGCCCGCTCGTCTCTGGCACTCTCAAGCTCCCAGTCTCCCCCGGTGCCCGCTGGACCTGCCCGGGTGTCCTCATCTGATTTTCTACCGCTGCCCGCTTTATCCACCAACTCCGGCCGTGGGTGCTGATGCGCAGGTGCCATCCGGCTGGACTTACGACCCCAGGGCACAGGTATAAGGGAGTGTTCGGACTGGGAGAGCATCTTGGTGAGGGACAGCGAGAGCGACCGAGCTCGGGTGCTGCTTTCGGGGTGTCTACGAGCGCTGGATCGGCCGTGTTGGGGCGAAGGTGATGAAGACGACATCCCGGATGCTGATGAAGGTGGACATGACGGTTCGTCCAGCTCAAAGGTGTAAACCCTCTGCTCCCCATCACTAAGCAGCACGAGGTTGCCGAGAGAACGTTGCTTGCGGAGGTTTAGATTGTCTGGGAGAGACTGCGGTGACTTGCGAGGTGGGCTGCCGCCCTGGAACACAGAAAAGTCAGCTCCCCGCTTCATGTTTTCACACGTTCTCTAGGATCCCTCGCACTCGTTCAACCTTATCTTGAAGTTTGTTCCGACTCACATGATCTGCATGCCTCAGGTGGCAGCAGGCACACAAGCTCAGTCGCAAAACTGCCCCTTGCACCAGGGAGCTTCAAATATCATCCTGCCCACACACACGCTCGCTCGCTCGCCGCAGCCAATAACCAGCATCCAGGTGCACGTGCTGAGAGCACACTCCTCCTTGTCTTCCTCCTCTTCTATCACTTCTTTCCTTTAATGCAGCACGGAGGCTCGCGGGAAGCAGATCTGCAGCCGATTACGGTTAAATTGTGATACATATCCTTCCCTCTCTTCCTGTTTCTCTCCAAGCAACCGAGGACTCTTCACACACTCTGTCTATTAATTACCGGCTGGAGTGAGCGCATGTGGCTCGCTCCGAGGGACAGGAGCAGAGACTGAGTGTGTGCGCGCGCTACGAGATGCGAGCTCAGGGTCCGCCTGCTTCTTTTAACATGCTGTGAGCTGCTTCATTCTCTTTATCTATCTCCTCCTTTCCTCTCACTGTCTTTCTGTTTGCAGCAATGATGGCTGGTTTCCTGTTGCTGTTAGCTACCGAGTCAGCACAGGTATTTTGTGTGTGTGTGTTGTGGGAATAGCGCAAGACAAAACTGGCTTGTAACACAGTGATTTCTCTGCCTTCATACTGGCGAAGGGTGCTAAGATGATGCATTTGGAAATGCTGCAGCACACAGCTCAACTGGAAAAGGAAAGGAAATCATACAAAAAAAGCTCAAACTAAGACCATAATATATCCCAAAACAGAGATTTTCAACCTTTTTAGGTCAGGTAAATTATTATATTAAAATTAATATTTTTCATCAACATATTCTTATGCATTCAAAAATTAAAATCATAATAAAAAATGACTAGCACGATTTTATAATGATTTAAGACAGATAATATAATATAATAATATATTAATATAAATGATTGTCTGTATTATTGTATATGAAATTATATTATTAATATATACATATTTATTTATTATTTATTTGGTAATACTTTAGTTCAATAGTTAGGTACATTAGTTAGCATGAACTAATAATGAATTGCACTTATACAGCATTTTGTATGCAATCTTTGTTAATGTTAATTTCAACATTTACAAATACTTTATTAAAATATTGTTCACATTAGTTAATGCACTGAGAACTAACATGAACAAACAATTAACAGCTGTATTTTTATTAACTACACAGTAAAAAAATATTTTCATGATTAGTAATCACAACATTTTTTTTCTTTTGTCAAATCAACTTAAATAATTTATTTAGTTCAGATAACATATCATTTTGAGTTTCTGATGATTAAATCATTATCCTTCATTATATTAACTCACTTTTTCCATTTCAATTAACTTAAAATTTTAAGGCAACCAGGTTACTTACTTTTTTAAGTTAAACCAACAATATTTTTTCCCAAAGTTTAACAAATACAGTAACAAATGCATTGCTCATGGTTAGTTAATGTTAGTTAATACATCAACTAATGAACCTTATTGTAAAGTGTACATTTGTAAACAAATGTAAGGAAGATTTTTTTTACCACCTGTATGGTGCATACCACCAAACCAACCAGACATCTAAATGTGCAAAAACAAAGCAGGTGCATGCATAGATTTTGTTCTTCTTGCATGGAGTAAAATACATTCTACAACAGGGTGGAACCCACAATGCACTTTAACAGGAAGTGAGTTCTGAGGTTCACATCTAAAAGTAGTCCATGTGAGGGTTTCCCTGACGCATCACTGGACAAACCACAGCATTTCAAGCATGCCCAGATGTAGAACAAAAAGCCTGTAGACATGCTATCCAAGAGGAAAATGCTTTTTTCTCAAACATGCTCCCCTTACATAGCTTAAAATAAGTATCATCCCATTCATGAATATAATAGAAGCGAAACATTGGAGTTCATAATCCAAAATCTGACTTTATATTATAGCATTTCGGCAAATCAGAGCACAGTTTGAGACATGGATCTGAGATAAAGTCCAATCATCTAAAGTTATTGTATATCGGATTGTACCGTTTAGAATTTGTGTTTATTTCCTTCGTTTGTTTTCAACAGCTCAGGGTACAATAACAATTGTATGCTTTCCTAAGTCTCATCAGCCATTAACTGTCCCAAACTCTCCCAATGCAGGGCAAAACATCCAGTAAATGTCTGACCATGAGTCATAATGTTATTACTGCTTCAAGATCCATTTGCAAACAGCAATGTTCCTCACCTTCAAAATGACCACAGCATGCCTGCATTCTTATTGACATACAACGACTGACCACTTTGTGCTTATGTGTTCGTCTGCAGTTTATTCACTTTAATTTGACATTCCAGGCATTTTTGTGCCAGCTGGAGCACTAATCTATATCTCATTAAAGAAGAGTTGGCTGGTTTCAGAAAAGATTCTTGGATTTTAGCTTTTTAGATGGGTAATTTCAAACAAAGTATATCAAAATAACAACAGGGAACCTCAGGGATGCACACGATCGCAAACCGATTAAATCTTATCTCGTACAGAATTAATGAAGTAAACCCAAGCATTTGCAGAGAGCTATGACAACAGTGGCTGTGATAAATATTCACACAGGAAATAAACAACTAGGAACGTATGTCATAGTGCAGCCTCCATTTCCAGTAACTGCAGTGCAGGGAAATGCAGCAATTGGGCACAATTTGCATTTATTTCTCACAGACTGGCTGTTAAAATATGTGTGCGAGCAGAGCCTGAGCCCCATGCACCTATCTTCAGCTATCAGCTGTCACACACATGGAGAAATACACAGAAGCACAAATAAACAACACATTCTGCTGCTTGGCCTCCCAAACCAGGCCGGCCTTTGTCCACCTGTCATAATTGACCTTTTTCTTGCTGCGATAGCAACATGGAACTAGAGGCCTGCAGAGAGAATCTGTGCCTGAGTGAGTGTATGTGTGTTGGGTGTGTTGAGTGTGTGTAGGTGTGCACATGTGGCGGCACTCGACGTACCTGAGATCTCCTCCAGGCACTGTTTGGCGGTCTTGCTGTAGACCAAGTCTTTTGTGGGACTGAGACACGGTTCAGTGGGGACCACGGTAGTGCAGTCATTCTCTGAATACGTCCTGCGTGAAGCAAAAGGAAAATGTGCATATTAATTAATAGTATTTTGCACAGAGAAGATCATGTTTTTAGCATCCTAACAATAGTGACGTTATGTAGTGACTTAGGTTTGACTGTCATTGTGGGGACCCAAAAATATAGCAAAACCTGAGAAAAACATGCACATACGACGTTGTTCAGACTGGAACAGTTGAAACAGACTGGGAGAAACTCTGTATATATGCATAACAACCACATCTACAACAAAGTTGTCCCAGGATACCTGCACTCGCCCAGATAAACATTCCCTTCTCTCTCTCTCTCACACACACACACACACACACAGTCACTCACATCCAATTCACCAGCCAAATATTTCAGTGGCATGTCACACTGTTAGTTTCACCACGTGCCATTGAGATGCTGAATTACCTGTGACAACAAACACTCACCCACGTACACACAAACTCTGCCTGAGAATGCAAATAAGCAAATGATGCAGAAAGGAAGAGGGCTTAAACTGTCAGGTAGGTGAACTGAATGAACACAGTTTCAACAGAAGGTCAGGTAAGGGCACATACAGGAGATTTTATGGGCATCAGACACATCATTTCATCTTTTTAATGTAGTTTTCATGCAACACAGACATCCCAACCTGAAAGAAGTCATTTCTAGGGTTTGACTGGGTTGTTGAGGTGGAGGTAATAAGGCACTACCTTAAAAAATACCTCTGTTTTACAGTACTTTTAATCAAATGAATGTTGCCTTGTTGAGAGACTGCTTTCAAAAACATAATCAAATCTTACCAACCTGCTAATTTTGAGTAGTGTATGAATATTTACATTAACCCTTGTGCTGCATTAGATTTTTAACACCGTTGAGTGCATTAAGGACCAAAAATGGCCACATATTAAACATTGCCTAAAATATTATATATTATTATTATTTTCCACTTTTACCAAGTTAAATCTTTTAACCAGCATCAGTCCTCATCATAACTACCAAAAATGTATTCAATTTCAGGATTTTAACCCTTTAATTACCAGTTTTGTTTGCGAAACCATCGATTTGTATAAGAGGAAAAAACACAAAAATTCAATTATTTTCAATAAACTAAATGCAAAGAGAAAACTTTAGATTTGGATTATCACAGTCCCACTTTGCAAAAAATCCCACTTATCGCGTTAGAGACCAAAAATGGCCACCTATTAAACATTGCCTATTGCCTAAAATAAGGTGCATTTCCACCCATAGGGAATAAAGTGACGTCATCTGGTGGAATACACTATATAATGCAAATATAATGCTTTTGCTTCAAAATGAAAGGATGTTTGTGCAAAAATCATGTTTCATGTATTACTGACAGCCTCAGATTTAAACAACGTTTTAATGGGTTTCAATGGGCCATTTTTGGTCTTTATGGTGCTGAGTGTTACTATTTGATCTACACAGTGTGTGTTATACATATTTTGCAAAATGGGATCACATTTTTTACATGTATCCAAAAAGTCACAATTTTGCCAAATTTCATACCATTTGCATTAAAACAGCCAAAATGGTCAAAGAAATTAAACTGCAAAAGACCGAAAATGTCCCTAATGCAGCATAAGGGTTAACACAAAATTGCAGTTTTGATGCTGGTAATGCAACTACATCAACTGACCCACCTTTGCCAGACATGTCAAAAAGTGTATTTTTAAAGAACATGCTCAATATGTGGACCCATTGAAAATGCAGCAGCACCATTGAGCGCTGTCGCAGCCCTGCAGGTTTTACAGTGCCAAGCAAAGCTCTCGAGAGGAAGATCTGCAGTGGTGGAGTGTGATAAAGGCTTCAGTGTAAAATTCCATTAAGACTTTAGGTTATAATCCTTATGAGACGACACTGAGAATGCCAAACACAGCTTTAAGAAAACGCCATCATCTTCCTGTGAATAATGAACCGGTAAGGTGGTGAGTGTGTTTTTATGAAAGCCGTTGAGCTGTAAAGGTTCAGTTTGTGCAGGCATGTCAGACTGGGGTCAACAGGTTTGAGAGCTCTTTATCAAGAGAAGGATTAAACGTTACTGAACATACACAATCGCTCAAGGACAATACTCTTCCTCCCTCGCTTTTAACACTCTCATCATGTCAGTCTTCCATGTCATAGGACCATTATCTTTTTTAACAAGCTGACTCAAACTGTTATGAATGCCCTCTGCCCATCAATCACATGTTATTCTCTTTTCTGTTCCTACTTCCTCTTCCTCCACTCAAACCTATTCACCCTCATTAGTCATCATTTGTGATGTCACCGGTCTCTTGGTGAGGACTGAGGGAAGCCACGCCCCTTAAACGAGGCGGTCTGGCAAACGTCTAAGTGGTTCCCACTCGGGCTATTAATACTGTCGAGATGAGATGTTTACCCACTGCTTTTTCTTGCAAAGCTTTGCGAGATTGGATGTGTGATGCAATGGACAGATGATCAGTGGGTGTGTGTTTGTGAGTTTAAAAGCTGGTTTGATAAAAGATGATTAGTTCAACATATATTTGTCTGTAATTACTAATGCTTTATGTTGCTCTGTTAGCCTATGTGTGTAAGAGGGGTCTCGCCCCATCTGGTCAAAACAGGAATCTTGTCTAGACAATCTATAATGAAAAGAGATCCATCCTGTTAACATCACCCCCCACAGTCAGATTTAACAAGACATCCTCCAGATTTCTCATTCTGCCTATACTCTGACAGTAGAGTGAAGAAATGATTGATTTGAAAATGACTAAAACCCAGGTTTGCCTGCACAGAAACACCACTGTGCAACATGTCGGAACATGTGCATTTCCCCCCAGGTCAACTCTATAAGAGTCAGATCGTTCATGCAGATATTAATTTCCACATCTAAACAAAAACTGGATTTTTCTGTACTTTGTAGATAGTTTATGGTGTATCTTGTGAACCACTAGTGATTACGAATGGTACCTGTTACATTTGGCAAAAGCCACTCTACTGGTTATCAGAGTGCAGAATGAGTAAAAGATGAGGTAATTATTCTGGACCTCCTGGGGATGAGGGTTTCATCTTTGCCTGTCTATTGAGGGTAATTACAGAGACATGGTCCTGCTGTCTCATGGATAATGATAATGATTTTGCAACCCAGAATAGAACCAAGGAACCCAGATCTGTCTGTTTATCTGCGCCTTACACTTCAATGTCTCTAACCGTCATTGGATATATAGACCCCAGTAGCCCTGCCAGGACAAGAAGCCAGCAGGGTCTATGATGAGGAAAGTTAGAGAAAGTTTGTTTTCTCTACTGAGGGATTTGTATCTAATTTTATCCAAAATTTGACAAAGTCCACCTGCTCTTAATTAATTCACTAGGGGTATAAAGGTGAATGTAATATGACAGAGGTGGACTCTTCTGTGACTGAACAAGACAATTAAGCAGGTACCCACAATTTCGGCAACCATCGTTCACAATATGCAAAGCAAGACATTTGAAAATGCAACAATCACGTCCAACTGTTTGAGAATCACTCACCGATACATGAAGGGGGCAACGGTTGCTGTGTTGGGATGGTTGTATTGCTGCTGCTGGGGAAGTTGTACTACCCCATTGCCTCCAAGAGCTCCTCCACCACCCAGCCCTGAAGTGGCGGATCCAGAAAGTGCTGAGGTACTGGTTGATGATACCATGCTGGTCTTACGATTCTCCAAACCTCCCAAAGATTTTTGCATGTATATAGACTGACTGCCTTTACTATGTTTGGTCTTCTCACTTGTAGTAGGTACACTAGGCTGAGTTGCTACAAGCTTGGTGTTCGCCGCCGGAGCCTTCAGACCAGACTTGGGGATGCCGCTGGAGGCGGGGATTGCACTTTCTTTCTTCACAGAGGCTGCAGATGTTTTGCTTCCTTTGGGGATGAAGCTGGCGATCTTTGAGCCTTTCTTAGAGGGCTCCACTATTACTGGCTCCTCTTTGGGTGGTGTGCTGGCTTTGCTCTTTGTCTTGTTCTTCTCTTCTTTGTCTTTGGGCTGCGGCAAGGACTTATTGTTGTGGTTCTTACAGTTGTTGGTCTTGTTTGGGGGTGCAAAGGAGGATGCGGAAGTCTTCCCCTGCTGTTTCGAGATCCCACAGGGTGGTGTGGGACTGCAGGTCCCCTCATCTCCAAACTCTGACAAGTCGTCCTCCTCCTGAAGAGCCATTTCGGCCACCGAGGGCGAGGTTCTGGATGCGGAGCGAGGGTTGATGAGCCGGAACTTCTCCAACATGGAGCGCTGGTTGCCGGGGGCTGATTTGGAGGCATCTGTGATTGGGGGCCGGAGGCGATCAGATGATAAGGGAGGAGTCGGGGAAGCGGTTGGGCTTGGCGGCTTGGTGGCCAGCATGGACGAGGTGGCACTGTGCTTTATGTTCATGGATTTGCTGCGCCAGGACTTTCCAGCTGTGGGAGAGGGGATGGCAGAGGCCAGCTGCTGCCCGCTGGTGCTTGAGGGCACCGAGCCACTGCCGTTCATGCTGCCTGGCAGAGGGATGCCCTTCACCGACTCTGTGCCAGAGAAACAGACCACACAGTGGACACATCTGTTAGACTGATAAAACTTCACCCTAGAATCAATACCAAGTCTGAGTTGTGAAAATTGTAAAAAAAAAAAATTGTATGACTGCGGCAATAATCAAATATTAACATGAGAGAAAAGGGATAAGCACGTGTGAAATACAGTAGATAGTGTTCCAACCAAATCTTTACTCTGTAACCACCGAATACTAAAAATCCCAAGCAGTGCTGCGATGCACTCAGGCAGAAAATTGGCTCCTAAATTGATTTTGGGATTTCAAATACTTTGTTGTTGCCAGACACACTCTTGATCTTTGTAAATGCAGTGATGTTTTGCAGAGAATCAACATGGCTCACAGAATATATATATATATATATATATTTAATCCAACACAAATACATAATGTTCACTGATCTACATATATCAAGCCTTTTAGATCATGACATAGCACAAATGTAACTTTGACTTTCAGTCCAATAACGACAACTTCACGTTGCAAAGCTCAGGGCGCAGACTCAAAATGTATGTGTATATAAATCAGATTACTTTGACTAGATTTCTGTGGATTGTACATTACTGACACAAAAGTACAATTGTATTATCATCTTTTTCTATGAGGAATGACATTCTTTCAAGCACCTATAATGAATATGGCATATAAATACAATAATCTTTATCATACAGTACCAACATATATACCAAATCACCATGGTTTTACCATCTGATTCCACTAATGTACACAAGTACTTCTTTGTAAGTGTATGTTTTACATTTTAAGAGTGAATCCCATGCAACCAGACAAAGGCATATTTTTATATATTGTACTATTGTACTAAAAATACAAATAAAGAAATAAAAATAAATGGTGTTGAAAAGTATTTTTTCACAAATTCAAAACATTGTAATACTGTAAAAAACATTTAAATTGCAGTAATGAGAATCTAATGAGAATTAGATAATTATATTTTATGTTCCAAAATTCCAAAAAGGAAGTAAAAAATAAAACATTTGTCATGAAAATAATATTAGAATGAAAAAAAAAAACTTTTTTAATGCCAAATAAAACTTTGTTTTGTGAGATTCACTCTAAAGTGTTTTTAAATCAGATTGCTTTCACTGAACTTCAAATTGAAATAAAATACAATTTTAATGAGTTTCTGTGAATTTAAAAAGATCACTAATGCACCAATGCTTCAGCTGCCTTGTAACACAACAAACTGCAAGTAAATCTGCTTAATCTCTCAGTAACTCAGGCTGTTCCTAACATTGATTTGCATCAAAGTCTCAAGCTGAAAAATTCTAAACACAAAAGAAGAGAGGAGGAGATGGGACTTCATTTGGTTCCATTGAAAATCATGTAGAGGGAACAGTGATTGGACTATGAATGAGTGTTGTGTGGATCGAGCTTCAGTGCATGTGTCAGCTAAATTAACCCCGTCTTTGGAGATAACAGTGCAGCTTAAATAGCAGCCTCTCTCTTGCACGTACACACACACATACACCAGACCATCGAAACGTGGTTACCATAGCTACCAGTCTTTTCTCTACACCACTTTATATGTTGAAAGTGAAATTCTGGTAGGATGCCATACACATTCCAAAACAAACATTTTAACAGGTGTACTGACAGCAACTCTGTAATGAAAATACTTCACTACTGTCTAATCCAGAATGGATCACATTAGCCATTTGCTTTGCCTCTGGCTTTCTTTATTATGTCTTCTGCCCAGTTCTGCTATATCTCCACCGTCACAGGTGCTCCTGTATGAAGCTATGCCAGAAGTTCACTGAGTGTGCTAAATAACAATGATTTCCTTCAAACTAATTCAGGAACTGGACATATTGCTTTTGAAAGCCTTCTGAACTGAGCTATAAACGTGCTGATTCACTCCTGCAGCCAGTGTGAATGGAGAAATTAGCTTTGTTATACAAGACTACTAAACATGCAAGTGTGTGTGCCTACTAACTTGGCATAAGGTTTATAAACAGTGTGAGATTTGTATCCACAGAGAGGCTTTGTGCTGAGATACGCAGGTGACAGTAGCACTGGGTGCTGATGACAGATTTTGAGGTTAAGGATTAAACCAGTTAAAGGTCAAACTCCAGATTATGAAATTTGTATTCAAGCCTGCCATAAAATAAAAGACTACATGCTAGCTCTGTTTCAGAACCAAGCAAGCTGCCTAAAGGGCTACAAAGGCAGCATCCCAACCGTCATAAGTGCCTGATTTGGAACTCTATGTAGGCAGCATAGAGAGCAAATAAAACTCATCTCACAGCTTAATTGATTGCATGTTGCTAAGCTAATTGATTGCTAATTATGCTAAGTTTTTACAATATGCATAATATATACATAACAACATACGCAAGTATATCTATTTATATTTTATCAATATTATATAATATATTTATATTTAATTTCAGGGTTACCCAATTTATGCAACTTATGTTTGTGAACCCCTGGGGGCGCGTGAGGGAACTGCAGGGGGGTTGTGAGCCGAAAAGCTTTTAATTAATTAATAATTAATTAAATCATAAAAAGGTCAAATTTAAATAATTTTTTTTTTAATGAAAATTAAAACATTCAGTTTACCTGCATCTCATGTAACCCTTACAAAACTTCACAGAACCATGAACATGCAAATGTGTTGTTCAATTATTGAAATATGAATTAAAATCTAATGGGGGTAGGCCTATAAGGGGACAAAATAGTTTGGAAATTCCTGATCTATTTGAATGGGGACCGACATCTAAGTAACTGTTGTTAGAAATTATGCTTCAACAAAACATTTCAAATCAGAAACAGAATTACACAATAATGGTGTCATAAAAATAATGAAAGTTTTAATTTTTTTTCAGGCTGGTCCAGCTAATACACTATTTTACTGGATCTTTCAACTGTATAGTGTGACTACAGTTACGATTTTTCCAATTCATATATGTACCAGACCATTCCTGCAGCTTTTCCAGCTTCTCGTTTGGCAAAATGCATTATGGGATATCCTCCCATATGAAGGTGCAACCATTTTTACTGTTTTACTGCAAATTTTCGCAGGTAAAATAGTCATTTCAATCAGGAAATTTTGGTTCAAGTTGGACACATGGATTCACCACATAGACCAAAATACACTATCGCTACACTATTGACAATCCACATGTGACCATACCTTTACAATTTGGCCAAAACATTAAGTCTCAAAAGGCAGCATCATTTTTCTGCCTATTGTCTGGAACAGCTTTCGTGTGTCCTAAAATGCTAGGAAGGCAGCTCACTAGTTTTTGGAACAGAGCTCATTCTCTCCCTACCAGCCCCTCCCATGGTTCCTCCAGTGCGGCAGACTCTTTGGACAGAAGAAAGGAAGGAAGATGAGGAAAAAAAAGGCAGAAGGGAGTTTGCTTTTCTCATCTGTGGAGGTATTAGCGCAGTAGCCCTGTAAATCAAAGTTTTGAGTAATGTTAGGCCCGATGGAAAATGGCAGCCATGGGTTTCAAGAGAGACGTCGCCTATTAGGACTCTCTGATTCATCAAAGCTCCATCTGCCATGTGAGAACCTTTGTCTGGCTTTGTGTACTGTCTCGCCCTCTCCGCACCCAGTGTCTGGGAACACCAGCATCTGTGCTAACGGTGAGCAAGGACCAGTAAAGTCCAGTATAAATCTAATCGGGCAGCACAGCCAAAACAAACAGTCTGCGAGGGAAATCAGTTGCGTTTTGTTCACCGATCGCCATGGATCCTTGCTGTGAGGGGTGAGGTAGGGGCGAAACACAGGTCACACGTCTTTGAACTCCCAACCCGACTTCAATCGACACACTCCATCAGGCCTAGCGCAGATTTATGAAGTAACCAACTAGCCTGTGGAGATTTACACACTGGTGTCTGAATAGCCGTGCGGTTTTATGAAGTCGGCTTTGAGTGATGGTTCGGCTCTGACCGGAAGATGAAATCTGAAGTGAACACTGAATAGGCCGGTTATGTGGATGAAACAAAAATATAACATTAACGTCATCTCTAAATATGTAGGGTGAGGACAGTGAATGCCTAGGGCAGATCACCTTTTCAGATGTGAATAACACACCACAAAGGAACCGCAGTGCAATATTATGCTTCAAGTCCCAAAATTTTCCTCAGGAAATGTGTTTTCCTGCAGATTTATTTACATCATTATGAAAATGTAATAAGAAATGCATTTTGTTACCGGGGGGAACCAGCTTAGAGCATCTTGCCCGTTCCCACAGATCTATTGTTTCTTAGATAGTGGCACCATCTAGTGGATAACATGATATAGCTGCAGCTGTGATTTTAATATTAAGGTAGAAAATGTAAATTCTGTAAATTACTCACCTCTGTCGTTGCCGCTAGCATACTGCAGTGGTTTGCTCTTGTCAATACTGTTGAAGCTCTGGCTCCTTCGGTTCAGGTTTGAGGAGCCGTGGGCTTTACTGCTGCTACTGCCGCTGCCTGCAGCGGGGACTCTGGAGGGACCTGGTAACCTGTAACACACAACACTAACACATTAGTTTGGTCTTCAATCACTGGATATGAGCTGTATGAGATTGCATATATCTATCTTTGTGAGGACATTCATTGACACAATTCAATCTCTATCGTCTTGCCCTAACCCTACCATTACAACAAACTGCCTAACCCAAACCCTTACCTTAAACCTACCCTTTGTAATTATAACCTGATGCCTAAAACCAAGTCTTGACCCTCAGACAGGCATTTAAAGGGCTCTCAGAAAGTGAGGACCATCCAAAATGTCTTCACTTTACTCACTTTGTCCTCACTTCGATGGTCTAAAACTTTGATGGTCTAAGACAGTTAGGCTCAATCCCAATTCACCCCTTGGCCCTACTCCTTGTTTTCGAGTGTACCCCTTGCCCTTAAAACAGAGTTACAAGGGCCAAGGGGTTGAAATATTCCCCTACAAAATGGAACAACTCTTCATGAACCAGATACGTCATCAGTCGTCGGCGATGGCTCTGGCGTTACGGAGTTTTTACAGGATTTCTCCATGACAACGACTGACAATCAGCGCAGCTGCTCTTAACTTTGAGGAAACATGATGATTATAACATCCCTTCCTCGAAATGTATGTCTTTTCTGTTTTCTGAAAAGTGATTTATTATACAATTTCTTAATTTAAATGACTATAGTATTATTATAAAAGCAAATAAAGTGCAAAGTAGCCCTACCCAACCATCTCAAAAAGAATCGGGACACCCTACGCTTAGACGTGAATGCGCAAAACGGAGGGGTAGGGCCAAGGTTTAGGAGCAAGGGACGGACGGACGGACGGACGGACGGACGGACGGACGGACAGACAGACAGACAGACAGACAGATAGATAGATAGATAGATAGATAGATAGATAGATAGATAGATAGATAGATAGATAGATAGATAGATAGATAGATAGATAGATAGATAGATAGATAGATTCCTCAACAAGCCAACATAATATGCAGCTCTTAATTGCTCTAAAATCGGCAATGAAACTAGCCTGGAGTGTGTGTGTGTATTCTTTGCATTGCACTGGGCTGTATCCACGTTATTGATGATTTACTCCTGCACAAAGCTTGTTAATGACCCACGAGTGGTAGTTTTTAATTGGGAAACACAATCCCATGGCACATCAGCCTAACAACATCTCATAAACATGTCATGGGGGGCGGAGAACAGGAAAGGCAGGGATTTACAGGTTCATTGACATATATATATATATATATATACATTTTCACAGAGCTGATTAATTTCTCATCAAACAGAAATGTTCCACGTTACTCAAATCTGATTAAGGCAAAGGGCAATTGATTTTCACAAACCAAGTTTATAAACTAATAAAACCATAAAACCAAATCATTTGAAGTTCATTCCTGATCAAATATGTTTGAAAAGTCTTATTATAAATAATCAGAGCAAATATCTTTCTCAGAAATGATGGATTGGAAACCAATGATTCAGGCAGCTGAGGTGCATGTCTCATCAAGCCTCTATAATGACACTGCTTTATCACTCGCTCATTTCCCATTAGGAATGTCTGCTTTTCCCCATTGACCTGTTAAGTGTGAAAAGCGGGCCCTGAAAAAGCATATCTCGTGTTATTTCTCAGAGAGGTTATTTCTGTGAAAATTGGGGTGGACAGCTTTGCATGAATCGAGAACAGCATCTGAACGAACGGGTTTTAAAAGTTTATGTTATAACAGGCCAACATGGAATTGATGTGTATTGAGAGCTCAGCAGATTCACATCAGCCCTCATGTGTTTGTTTATTAAATATGCTGACTAATTTTATCATGCTTTCAGCTATCAATACAACCGTAGTATCCTCAGCTGAGCATAAAGCATTTTATCATGTTGAAATCTGCAGATTTTTCCCCTGAATTTGCAATGAAAACACATCAAAAGTGAGCAGATTCAGTTTGCCCTGTTTCAGAGATGCAGGCAACATCTGACATCAGCATTTGGGTTCCTAATTTAGTCTTGAAATGTTCCTTAGACTATACTTTGCATAAATACGTATCATGTATACATACACAAACACAAATATGCCTGTAGAGGATACATTTGGTGCTTACGAGGCATTTGAAGATAGAGAACGTTGCTAAAATAGACCTGAATTAAAGCTGTAGTGCATACATTTTTCTGCATGTGCTAAAATACTTTATCCTATCCTGACAAATATGACATTTACAGGCTGAATTTCTGGGAAAAAAATCTATGGTATTTTTAAAGCATTACTTTTTAAGCATCCCAAAACAAGCCAACACAGCCAAGTTGAGGAAAGACTGTCTGATTGTTTGACCAATGGCAGGGAAGCTTTGTTGTATGGGGGTTGTTAAATTATGCTAAAGAAATGGCATATTCTGCTTTAGGGGCTTATAATGAAAAATCTATACTTGAAGTTGAGATGGGCAGCAGGAAGATCAGGTCTCCGGATCTGCTCTTGATTGTTTTAGGGTACTAATTAAATTGTCAATGGGGCTCAGATGAAAATCGTGAGCGTTTGAAGGGGTTTAACTATGAAACATCTGCACTGCTAAAATAATAACGGATTTTTATTAAAATGTCACATCTTTTCCAATCTGTGTCCTGCATACATAAAAGGCCTTAAGGAAGATAATCTTTCAAATTATGCCTATTAGATGGATGTTTCAGGATCAAATTAGACTACTTCTGTCATCTCCGGTGAATCGGAATCTAAAAAAGTACTTTGGATTGAGGTGAAAGTTTTGGAGTCTAGAGGACAGCTAATTTATGCACTATCATCTATTCTGTTTTCCCCTTTGTAAAAAAACAAAAAAAAAAAAAACCCCAAAAAACAGCATCATAGGTTATGAAATTTGTCTCTCTAATTACCCAAATTACTACACAATAATGCTGTTTAATTAAAGGTACAATATGTAGGATTTTTGTAGTAAAAATATCCAAAAAACACTCGGCCAATGTTATATATTTTGTTTAGTTGATTACTTACAACATCCCCAATGTTTCCAACTATTTGTAAATCGTGAGAAAATTGCGATTTTAACCAAGGAAACGGGACGTGTCAGCAGGGGCGAGGACTCACCAGTCAATGGCGTCATCTCCGCGTTACGCTCGCTTTCCGCTCGTACTGCCATAGTAACCATGGCGACAGACCTGGGCAACTGGGTTATGCTTAGCAGGACGATGTTGTTGTTTGTTCAAACATTAGATCTGTATGTTATTCTATTGCTGATCTAGCTCACTGCTAGTCTCATACACCCAACAAACCAACCTAACTAACAACATTCAACACACTCAAATGCCGTTTAGTTTGATCGTGTAACGGTTAGAGCAAGTGAAGCAGAGCTGCGTTACCTCAAGTTTAATTAGTCTAATAAACTGTCCTGTGCGAGTATTCATTCAGCACTTGCATGTAATTCGGTAGAATGAAATGTCCTTATTCCTTTATATCCACGAGACTCGTATTGCGTGTTGCGCTGTTATAACGTAAGTCTATCATTAGCAATCGTGCCCTGCGTATTCACGCATCCATAAAAGATCCATCAGCTTGACGACAACATCCATAATTCCACTTACTGCTTTGCGTCATCAATTTACGCCTTTGTTATTGTTATTGTAAGAGGTTAGCGACCCCTGGTGGCGAAAAATCCTACATATTGTACCTTTAATCAATTAAGCCTCAATTGTAGTTTACATGCATCTTTCTAAACACAAACACACAAACAGGAGAAAGTGTGTACTTAGAGATACTTATATAGTAATTATACTATATAATTGTAATTTTATTTAAATGTTCAAATTTCCAGTGCATTTTACCTGGCGTTTTCACTTACAACCACCCATAAATCACATATATGATTAGATTTTCAAAAGCTATTGCCAGTAATGTAGCCCACTCATAACATAGGTGTGAGCAACCCTCTACATCCTTAAAGACTATTTAAAAGTCTACACAATAAAACATACAGTACAACTGAACTCAGGACAAGAGCAGAGTCCAGTATGAAAAAAAGTTGATGTCCAGGACACTTTTTATATCAGTGCTTTGAGAGAAGATCCCAGACCTCATATAAGTCAAAGAGAACTGCAGCGTCTCCATTCCTGTGCCTTTCCCAGCAGGCACATATTGTCTTTGAGCAAATAATGCCATCAGTTGAACCCTAGCCATCAGGCTGTCAGTGGAGTAAGCACTATATCACATAGTGTCCATCACATTTCTCACATAGTTTGGCCAGGGGCTGCTTGAAATGCTTCGCCAGCATTCAGCTTCCAACCAGCTCTGAGATGAAGCAAATGCTTTCAGGGCCAAACAACTGCTGCCGAAGCTTCAAACTACAGAAACCTCCAGGCTAAAGCGGTCAGAGATAAACAGCGTTCAAGATCTAGAGATGATTCAGGACATTATGCATCCGCTCAATATATTCAGTTTTTTAAAAAAGGGGAGAAAAAAACTAGACTACAGTTGAAGAACGGACACCACCAGCATGCGTTTATCATCCACCACTTCCATCACCCAGAACTGTTGCTACGGCTTTGAACGTCAGTAGATCGGCTTTCCCGGTCTCTAGCCTGAAGGTCTGCGGAGAGTTTCATGTGTCAGAACACAGCGAGAGCAGGCAGATACTGTAAAGACTCTACCTTGTGTTTTTCTTCTGAGGGGCTGCTATTCCACTGTGACCTGGTGGACTTGTATATCGTGCGGTGAGACTGTAAAGAGGTAGTGGGAGAGAACGAGAGAAAAACGGGAGAGAAAAAGAGGGAGGGAGGGAGAGAGAGAAAGGAATGAGGTTAATGATTGGATTGAATTTTTTTTTTTTTTTAAACTGTGGCATCTTTCTTTCTAATGCAATAAGGGCGGCACTTAGCGAGCCACAATCAGGGCTGGGCGCTCACATGCAAACGCAAACAGCATGGCCTCTGTGTGCGCCTATTCAGATTCACATGACATGTCACTCGTCTCCGACCACAAGTATGCCTACTTCCTGTTCTAGTGGCCATTTCATATTGTAGATCTAAAGCTAAAAGCCAAGTCACACTCTTTATAAACCTGTGCGTATGTGAAATACAGTAAGAGCTTTATTCTTCGTAGTGCTGAATAACTGATCCATTGTGAATGACCTCCCAAACAACATATAACTCAAAGAAAGTAATCCCACATGACAGAGATGATATTCCTGTAGGTCCAGTCACAAAAACAACAACAACAACAAACAAAAACTTCACACTCACTCTCTCACACAAACACACACCTCTTCCAGGAACACTTTAACTGTGTACAACAATACACAAATATACACCGTTCAAAAGTTTGGGGTTATTAAGATTTTAACTGGAAGCTTTAATAGCAGGGTAAATTCCTTGGCAATAAAGCTCTTTCAGATCCTGATTTTAGTATTTATTTAGGAAGAATGCATTCTTTTGAATCATTCGATTGATCGAAAGTGACAGTAAAGACTTCATGCACTTTTACTTGTTCTTTTGAACTTTTCTATTCCTCAAAAAATCTTGAAAAAAAATGGTAAAACGGCAACACGGTTTGTACCAAAAATATTAAGCAGCACAACTGTTTTCAACTGTGATGGTATTAATAATAAGGTAACACTTTATTTTGATAGTCCACTTTAGACATTCAACTTACTATTAGTAACTTTGCCGCTACATGTCAACTAACTATCATTAGAGTATTTTGTTGGTCCCCAACAGACATTCAACTGACTGTAAGTAACTTAGCAACTACAAGTCAACTTGTTCTCCTAACCTGAACCCTAACACCTAACCCTAACCTAACAGTCTACTGACAGTCTAATACAGCCTACTAATACTCTAATGACACTTAGTTGACATGTAGTTGAAAAGTTACTTATAGTTAGTAGAATGTCTAAAGTGACTATCGAAATAAAGTGTAACCAATAATAATAAATGTTTCTTGAGCACCAAATCAAGCAAGAAGGAATTATGAATGATTACAATGTAGATAAATCTGAAAATATAGCTTTGCCATTACAGAAATAAGTTAAAATTTTAAAATATATCAACACAGAGAACAGTCATTTTAAATTCTAATAATATTTCACAATATTATTGTTTTGACTATTTTTGAATGAATAAATACAGCTTTATAGAGCATGAAATTCTTTCAAGAACATAAAAAAACTTACCAACTCTGACCGAGCTTTATACCAGTAGTGTACATACTATAATGAAAACTGTAAGTTAGTAATAATAATAATAATAAATATAACCGAACTGATCTCTTTAAGAACCCTTGCCGAGGTTTGGATGAATGAATACATTGTCAGATAGAATAAATGATAGATGGAGGTCCTGCCGGTAGGAGTTGTACTTACAACACACAAACATATAAAACACAACCCAAACACCTCAGGCCAAACAGAAAACACAGAAGAGTTGGCTGTATAGTTCTCAAATCTCTCTCTCTGTCCATCCCCTGACAGCTGACTGACACTGCCTTTGTTCGTTGTGGGTGTGCATTTTTGTTTGTGTGTGTTTGTATATGCTGTGTCTAAGCGGTAAATGTGCCTTGACAAGCTTTTGCGTTTAGCAGGTTTGTGAGCGCTGCGTGATGGAACGAGAATGCCAATGGATGGATGAAAATTGATGAAAGTTGAAAGATGAGAGAGAATGATAAAGAGGGAATGTCCAGTTCACAAAGGTTCAACAGTAACAGTAAGAAGATATCGATCTAAACAGTACCTAGTTGCTATTAGCATCTGCCATCAGCAAAAGGTCATCAATATGGTTTGTTGCTGGTACAAAATGGTTTACCACCACCAATCAGAATGGTTTACAAGGTCAAAACAAGGTGGTAATAGAGCTGAACAATCATCTACACCCTCTTGGATCATGAATGACCAATTTAGACCAGAATTAAAAAGTGTTCAATCATTTGATTCATGTTTCTTTAGTGTTCCTCCGCGATAGGGAATTTTCACTGGTTCAAAAACCTGTTCCACAAAATTAAAGGAGTAGTTCACTTTAAAAAAAAAAAAAACTTATGCTGATAATTTACTCACCCCCATGTCATCCAAGATGTCCATGTCTTTCTTTCTTCAGTCGAAAAGAAATGAAGGTTTTTGATGAAAAAAATAACAAATTTAAGTTTTGTAAACTCAAATGCTTGCCTTGCTTTGTTCCGTGATCCACGATCGTGACTCTCCTGTTCATCAAAATAAACGAATCTTTTTCCGAGTCAATTTTGTTCGTTGAATGAATCAAATGACTCGAAAAAAGATTCGTTCATTTTGATAAACAAGTTCGACCAGGAGAGTCATGAAGGTGGATCACAGAACAGAGCAAGGCGAGCATTTGAGCTTATAAAACTTAAACTTTTTTTAAATGAGCGATCATTTCACTTGATAAGACCCTTATTCATCGTCTGTAATCGTTTAAAGCCCTTTGAACAGTTTACAGTTTGCACTGAAACTGTCTTTTGGACCTTGAACCGTTTGGTTCCCACTGAAGTCCATTATATGGAGAAAAATCCTGGAATATTTTCATCAAAAACCTTATTTTTTTTTCGACTGAAGAAAGAATGACATGGACATCTTGGATGACATGGGGGTGAGTAAATTATCAGCAAAAGTTTTTTTTATTATTTTTTTTTTCGACTCCTTCCAATATCATATATGTTCTGATTTGGTTGAGAATGTGTCATGTCACAGCCATTTAGACATAAGGTAAAACCAGCTTTATCTTGGATATCAACTATATCTATTCAGGGCAAAAAAATTCTCATCCATTCTTCCAAAGGTTGCCCAAAATGACCAAGCTTGGGTGTGTCTGTTCAGAAAGAGATCATTATGAACACCATGAATGTTTCTATGGTGAGTGCGTGACAAGGAGCTGGCTTGAGTCTAGCTGGCTAGACTACCTCAGGTAAAACCCTGAGGAGCAACAAAGACTTCACCAGACTGAGAGAACGAGAGGAAGACAGTAAAAGAAGGAGGCAAGACAGCAGGTTAACAAGCATTGTAACCAAAGACAGCTCCAGTGAGATGCTAACACTGTCTTTTACTCTCTCATTCACTCTCTCTCTCTTGAGAATGTGATCATGTCCACATGATTAATGAGGCCCATCATTTCTCCTCCAGCTCAAAGAGGAACTCAGCTGGGACAGTTGCTCTACAACCTTCTTTCTTTCTTTTTCCTTCACTTCTAAAAGCGCTCAGCCAATCAGTATGAAAGTACGACAGCGGTGAATCTGACAATCTCAAGGATAACTCTTTTGCCGTGGATCATTTAGACACACTTCACAGTGAGAAATCAAACACAGACCAAATCCGCCAAGGTCACTGTTCTGAAAATCTCAAATTGAATCTAAAAAATTAGGTTTAGTGAGGATTTCAAAACCATTCACAATAGTTTCTCTAATGGGAATCAATAAATATCAAGATTTAGCCTACTTACTCAAATGTAAAAGCATCAAAAATGATAAGGATGCATATGAAAAATCTAAAATGTTGTGCCATTTCCAGTCATATAAGCGATCGACCAGAGAAACAAAAGACACATTACAAAAGCATAAATTATAAATCAAAACTTTCCAATTGACAATAAAAGTGTATCAAACAACATAGAACCACTGCAGATGTAACATTTGCGTTGTAACAAACTACTCAATGTCTATCATAATAAATAACCCCTATTGCATTTTAAAGGGATAGTTCACTTTGAAATACATTTTTGATACGTTTTAGCTTATCCAAGATGCAGATGTCTTTGTTTCCACAGTATTGAAATTGAAATATTCCATAAAATTGAAAATATTGTGGAAACAAAGACACCTACATCTTGGATTCCCTTGAGGTAAGCTAAAACATATCAAAAATTAATTTCAAAGTGAACTATCACTTTAACATATAGTATATTTGATTGATAATCTAGATCACGTTTCAGATGTTATGTAATATTTTAGTTAATATTTTTGGACAATCCAACCTTTAAAATAAAATCTCGTAACTAGCAGTACTCTACAAGTTCTAATGCAATAATACTAGATGACTTTCTACAGCAAAAGACATGGCCAACCTACAGAAAAGTTTTAAACTGATAGAAGTGCAACAACCCGTAAAATGAGTTTCAACTTACCTCCCGAGAGAGAAACAACTCATTTTCAAAGCAGAACAGACAACTTCCAAAAAAGGAACTAAACACCTGAATATAAAATGTCACACTCTAGACCAGGAATAATGATCAATTTGGAGGGACACAATAGCCTGAATACACTGAACAGGACAGTCCAAAAACTTGCACCACAAACGATTAATAAACTACACAGCCATGTTGCTTCCAGTCAAAGCATCTATGTAACACGACCAATACTACTGTACCTATTGCTGTCAGACTTTCTCCCATAGGACAGTCGGCTCTTCCTGTCCCGTGAGCTGGGGGCAGGCAATCGTGAGCATGAGACAACCGAGTCGAGTTGTTCACCTCGGGACATGGTGCGGTGAGAGGGAGGGATGACACTTCACCCCCCATATCTTCCCCAGACCTAAAGGCACCGCAATGTCCAGCTATCCCCTCTCTCTCTCTTCCTCCCTCTCTCTCTCTCTCTCTCTCTCTCTCTCTCTCTCTCTCTCGCTGACCGACTCTCCAGCAGGTGTTGGCTATAGAAAGCTTGGATCTCTAAAACTGTAAATGGGTGCAAGGCTGTGAGTAAAACCAGCAAGAGTGCTTTATAAAAAGCTCCCCCCTCATTCCCAGGGATCTCAGACAGAGTTGTATTATGGTATTTAAATCTTTAAAACAAAACAGATATCTAGCTGACTTGGTGTCAAAAGTGTTAAAAGTCAATTTCCCTTTTTAAAGTCATAGTAACAGAATTTTATATAATGTCCTTACCAGTAAAAAGTGATAAAAGTTACTGTGTAAATCTATGTACAGGTATTAGCACTAAATGCAGCAGTCTCATTGCAGTTTCCTGTGCTGATGTATTTCCTATTGAAACAGGAAGTTGGGGCGGAACTTATCAAATGGCTTGTTCTTTTGGGTAAATAGGCAATAGCCTTTAGTTTATGTCATAGCTTGAAACCATGATGCTTTTGCTAGAACATAGCAAGTATGGTTAAAGCTACACTGTGTGATTTTTACCCCCATCTAGTGGTGAAAAGGTATATGACCATCCAGGGAATATTAGTTTCTGTTCCTCTCAATTCCGATTTCCTTTTAACTCCTACGGTGGCCAATGTAGTCCAAGATTAACATGGCGTCCAGTTCGACCTCGTCCATGAGTGTTAACTCAAACGTAAACGCGAAAGGCGAAGCTTGAATTAACGGGTATGTCCTACTTTCAAGATGGAGGGGCAACATGGCGACCGACATTAGAACCCCTTGCCCGTATGTATTTTCAATGGCTTTATTACTTGAACGAAGTAAATATACATTAATGGGCACATATATTTTTGAAAGAACTAAGTGTTTTTAGCTAAGAATAAACTAAAAGAGTTACACAGTGTAGCTTTAAGAGAAGGCATGTTTATTAGAGAACAATTGATTGGTTAAAAATTCAGGTATGCCCCTGAGTGCAAGATGAGTCATCAGTATTTTTAATGCATATATCACCTAAAATATAATGCTGTTAACTTTTAGCAATACAATACAGAGTGTCTAAAAGCTAAAAACAAAATGAATAAAAGCCACTAAAAACTTAAATTGGGATTTTAAAAGTATTTACACAGTGTAATATTATGCAATTAAATAAATTATATCATATTATCAGAATTGCGAGTAAATATAGTGCTGAGTAGCTGAAATGTAATTGCCCCACAATTTGCTGTACTGTAAATAACATGAAATATCTTCTGACTGGCTTCTAAACTAAATGTCTTGTTAAGCAGAAATTTTAAATATGAACAGGATTTTTTTTTTTTTTTTTTTTTAGCACCAGCTACTTGACGAATTGTGCTTGCTTAATTAAGTCAGTGTATGGAAGGCCGTTTTACCCGCTGAATTAAACATAATGAGTTTATTCACTGAGTATGTGATACGCTTCTGCCAGTAAGCTAAAATGCTTTAAGAAACTCCCAGGAGTCTGTTTAAGTGTTTCTGTGTTGTTGGCCAAAGACCAGAGTTGATGAATCACCTAGACCCCGTGACCGATACGACACACACTCACACACACACATAGAAAGCTAATCAGCCAGCCACCCATTTTAACACCTGTAACCCCAAGCCAGTAAACGTTTGAAGAAACATTTCCTAAACACAATACAATAGCTTCCTTTTACCAGACTGTCTGGACACAACTGTGATAGTTATCTGAAGAGACTGCGTTTACAACATCCTCAAGGAGTGCGACCAATCTCTCCTGGCCCAATTCTGCTCACTGATGTCATTTGGTGTGTGTGGAATGCTAAAGCTGTGTGTGTGTGTGTGTGTGTGTGTTTCAGGCTGGCAGTCCAAGGCCCTCTGAACACCTGTCACTGCTGGATCTGAGTTGAGAGAGATCCCACAGGCCCCGGACAAGAATGAGGGGCAGCTGTTGTCTTTCTCTCACTCTCTTCCTCTCTCTCTCCCTCTTCTCTTTGCACTTGTGAATGCTGACAGCACAGAGAAGCACTACAAAACGGCAACTCGTGCTTTTCGGCCTGTACCCCACACACACACACAAATGCATTCTGGGCCAGGTAACGTGAGCCAGGCTGTGAACGCCACTCATGTGTGGCATCTTCTCTCCGTAGCTGCTGCTAAGATTACTCATCTATTTACATCACAGTTATGACCTTCCTTTTTTACCAACACACACACACGTTTTTCATTTTATGGGGAATTTTCATAGACATAATGATTTTTATACTGTACAAACTGTATCTATCCCTTTATACTAACCCAACCCCTTAAACCCATCACAGAAAACTTTCTGCAGTTTTACATTTTCAAAAAAAATTAAAACACTATATCATAAGCTGTTTTCCTCATAGGGACCAAATAATTTCCCCGCAAGTAGAAGGATTTTGGATATTGCCAGCTTTGTATATCCCCAATATTATGTCCTCATAATTGATCAGGCCACACACGCACACTTACTGTACACACATGCACAAACACACGTTTAGAGCTCTATTATTCTGTTTACTAGTTACTAGTAATTTCAGTTCAAATAGTGTGTATATATATATATATATATATATATATACACACACTATAGACACTTGGCTTGTAACCGTGTATTACAAGCCAAAAACAAAAATGTGTTCTTAATATATCAAATATTTATACATAATATTAATTATGTATAAATATAAAGTATATACACGCAAATATTACTTAAATAAATACATGCATGTGTGTGTATTTATAATATATACAAAATAATGATACACACTACACACCCATATATTACGTAAACACAAACTTTTATTTTGGATGCGATTAATCGCGATTAATCGTTGCCCAGCCCTAATATATATATATAAAGTGTCTTTAGTAAAAAGGCAAACATTTTATATTACTGTATTATATTACATTTGTATATTACTTTGTATATTATTTTAGTATATATGATACTATATCAATTTACTTTTTTACCAAAAATAATAAATGTGATATTTATAAATTACTAATAGCATTTTTTTCCACAAAGATTCTTGATCTAGCGATCTAACACATTGTATGATTCCAGTGTAGAAACTAATCTTAATTAATCTTAATTGCAGTACAAAATTTTATGTGAATAGCATGTGATCTGTTTTGGTAATTATGTGTACCTTTATGTTGATTGTTAAGTAGACAAAACACAGAAAACACTTTGCAAAAAAAATCTTCAGAACAAGCTGCATTTTTTTATGGCTTAGACATTAAGATAAGTCACAATAAAAGTCTTACCAGGTCTATGAACATAGAATTCAACTAAGGCCATGCAGCATTTTTTTTTTTTTTCTATTTATTTATTTAGCCATATATTTCATGACTAAAGATCCAGAACTCAAACAGAGGAGCGACAGCAACAGACGTGTCCTACCTGGACTGCATGTCTTGTGTTTTGTGATGACTCGCTGGCGCCACCCCTGTGCTCTGATGCGTGACGTGCTGTTGGAGCTCCACCAATGACTGCAGATACTGCTGCTGGTGCTGCTGTTGCTGTTTGTAGCGGGACAGGATGAAGAACAAACCCAGGATGCTCTTCAGATTCCCATTACACACCTCTGAAGATCAAACACACCAGATTTAGAAAGTACCACGGGAAGAGCTCTTTAATCCTGCAAACGACTGCATTATATTGACGCGCACATCATATTTTTTAGTACAGGATCAAGTCGATAAATGGCCGTTGAGTCACATTGAGCCTCATTATAAGGAACTTCAAACTGTGTTTACAATCAGTGGAGAATTTGCCGCAGATACGTTCTGTTCTCTGAATGAGGAAGTAATACACAGTATGACAATCTACAACTGTCTAGAGCATCCAAGTTTAGCATGGTCATTTGACTGTCTGGAGTCTTGTGCGTCATAAATTAGATGCTAACATTTGTAAACAGCCGCTGACTTTTAATTGAGACCTTTTACAAGGAGATACTGATTCAATAAGCAAATCGTTGAAGTGCCGGATGGAGTTTAGAAGCCCAAACACTATTATCCTATGCACATTAGGGCTTTGAGGTGTGCTACAAGGAATGCTTTTAAAACTTTCCCCAAATTGAGGATGTGAGTTTGAATAAGTGCTAACATGGCGTTGCTCTGATCGCAGGGATAAAGGACTAAAGATGAAGGCAAAAGCATCGATTGTCTGTGCTCTGCCTGCCAGAGACGCTTTTCTCTCTTGTGCCCATTTATGAAATGGTCCTCATTCATAGTCACACACTGCTAATGGCTGGTGCAGAAAGCAAGTGAAGGATGGCAGTGCTGAGGCAGCGTTAAAGAAAAGAATCCGGTTTATTTCTGACAGCCCGTCTTGTTTGTTCTGCCCATCAGCGATGTTTGGGGTTATTCATCTTCCCCTGGTTCAGTTTGGGACCGTGCGGAGCTGTAATTTGTAGTCGACATAATAAAGCACTTGGATGGTATGTTTCCATTGAACATACTTTTTGGGTCAGGCGACAGGAATTTGGCACTATTTGGTGTCGTTGAGGGCTAATTTGTAAATGCATGTTTGCATTAATGGAGGGGATTATTATTTTTCCACATAACTGCTTTGTGTAATAGCATATGGAGAACATTTCGATTTTGGCAAAGGTTTTCACAATGATTAAGCCATTAATGATTTCCACAGACACCAGTGAATTGAACATGGCTTATGAGATGATACCATAAGGATTCCACTATAGAAAATAACACAGTTACTAGTATTACTAGTACTGTAAAATCATAATAAATGATAATGACAACTGCTTTAAAAAGTTGATGGGCCCCATTGACTTCCATAGCATACTATGAAAGTCAATGGGGCCCATCAAGTGTTTGGTTACCAATATTTTTCAAAATATGTTATTTTGTGTTTCATTCATTCAGATTTGGAATAACTTGGGTTAACTATCCCTGTAATACATTTTAAACATAATATACTGCATATTCAGTCTATGAAGATTAATGATACTTAAAATTGTGTGGCTAGTTTACATTTATAATCATCTATGAACATATGAACAAATGTTGCATTACAAATGATAAAATGGGTAAAAATCTCATAGATTTGCATGGTAACAGGGACCAAACTTAACATATGACTAGGATATCATAAAGAAGTGGTTCTCAAACATGGTTGATTTTAAATAATTTAAACTATATTACAAATACACCAATAAAATGCTATACAAAAATCAAGATGTAAACTGAAATGTACAGTAAAATATATTTTAATTGCCCCCCACCCCCTAAATAACTTTTATTTTTATTGAAATACATACAGAATCTTATATATCAACTAATCAAACGTTATTTGTTTCATGACAGTACTGCCCCAAACCATGTAAACAAACACCAGTGAGCTAGGATGTGTATGCTAAACGTTGTATGCTAATGAACACACTTTAAGCAGAAGTTTAACTGTGGAGTCATCAGGCTCTTTCTGTCACTTGCCACACAAGGTCAAATGCGAATCTGTTCAGGCGGGTTCATTGAGGGAAGTGAGGACAGGGAAGTGTGAATATATTTTCTATTTACAGTGATGTGATCTTGACCACTTCCTCTGTATACAGCGTTCTATCATTTCATAGCCAAAAGTACCAGTAAACATGTCCAGTAATACTCTGTACAGAATTACAGAAGTGGTTTGCATGTACAGTCCGTAAGATATTTCATCACCAAGGCTGAATATAATTGATCAAAAATACAGATCATATCAAATATTCAGATATCAATTTTAAAAAAAATATATATTATCAGTCATAACAACAATCTGCACTGTCACATGCCTTTCAGAAATCATTCAGATTTGATGCTCAAGAAACATTATTTGTATTATTTATATCATTATTCAAATGGATAATTTCTGGAGTTTGACAGCCCCCAAGCCTCTATTTCTGTGTTTCACAGAAGAAAGTCATTACCGGTTTGAAAGCACGTGAGAGTGAATAAATGATAAGAATTTTCATTTTGAGTGAACAACACCTTTAGACCAGCTGAGATTAGAAAAAAGTGATTTCTATGAAAACAGGCTTCCTGTATTTTACATATTAATGAGTGACTTTCAATTTGAATACCTGCAGAAGGTCATGCTTGATCTCTTTTGTATGACTTGTGAGGATTTTTGATTTGAGCAGAGGGATTAAACAGCTCAGAGGAAGCGCCTCTTCAGTTACGCTGACGTCAGTTGTGCAAGTGTCTTTACACACGTGTGTGTTTCTTGTCATGGTGGGTTTCACAGTCAGGTCACCGGCGAAGGTGCCCCCTATGACCCTATGAGAAGTCTTTAGGACTAACCTGCTATTTAATGAACTGCACCTTTTCACCAGATCCTCACAGCCAATGAGATCAAAGCTCAGGTCATGGTGTGCCCTGCACTTAGAAAAGCACTTAAAACCGGTATCCCGCTGTGCCTTCCGATACCCTACACACCGTGAACACAGAGTCATGGCCAGTGCAGCAGGAAAAGGGATATTGAGAGCTTGCACCTATCATTATTGGACTGTTCTGGGAAAAGAGGGCTAGGATAACACTCAGCAGGGGTCGAGAGGAAACTTTCCCTGAGGACAATTTTATAGTGAATGAGGTTAGGTTTCAATTAAATGTCAACTGTTTGTCTTAAAATTCCTCGAAGAGATAGAAATAGAAACAAATGTGACAACTGTACACACACAGTTAGAGTGGTGTTCTATTAAACTAATAGCTTAAATCTGGAATGGTGATTTGTTTTAAATTACATTAAACATTCTGTCAGACAACGAATGACATTAAGTGCTAATAGAATTCATTGAGTCTCGGAGTGTCTCGGAGTGAATGTTGTTACTTCCTCTTTAAAAGAAGAGGTTCCATCTTAAAATTACAGTTTTCTATCATTTTGAGGTAAATAAGTCATGTGTTGTGGGAATTAGGATGCATGGACACGTATTAATTAATTAGTTATTAATTAGCCAGTGAATGCAGACTACAATGGCAAAAATACTAATAATAATGATAATGGTATTTTTAATTTTATGTTTTTAAATACTTAGCAAAATAAAGTTGTACTTTTTTGTCGAATAACTTGCAGTATAGTGCTAGTAGAGTGTATGTGTATTTAGTGCTATTAAACTAAATTGCATAACTGAATGCATTTTATTTCATAAATTGAAGATATTATGGGAGGAGTGAAATGTAATTTGCTCTGAATTTAATCTCCTGGTCTAGGAGAAATAAATAAATAAATTCAAAATTTACAGAAAAAGAGAAATACTATATATGACATAGTGTCTGTGGTTGAGACATTATTACATTTATTTTCCTTGGAAAACTCCTACACAGTCAAGCACATCAACTTATTTTATAAAGGTCTCAAGTCGCCATGCCTCGTAAAATACTAAGCACAAGCGTATGCAAGCCTTCAAAACCCAAACTCTGAAACCTTAGCTAATTTAATTAAGACAACTACTCACAGCTTTAGGAAAGATGCTCAACACAACCACACACACACTCTCTCTCTTACTCACTCACTCATGCTCATTTGATCACTCAGTCTCACACATACATACACACACTAAAAGTAGGGGATGAGTGTGTGATGAAAGCTTGAGAAACCCTATACACTGTACATTTATGGACCCTGTGCACTCATGATGCTGAATTTAGCAGGGCAGTGAATACAGTATCCAAGCTGCTTTAGGTTAATGATATCATTTCACTTGAGCTCCGACTGAAAAACAAATATCAAGGATCTTTGTGGTTTGTCAGTGCAGCCATTCTAAGAAACCTAAAAAAGATCTTAAAATAAGGTTCAAACATTAACTAGTATCTATGGGCTCAAACACGCTACCACCAATGTAGCTATAACAATGATGTGATACAGAATTACATGAAATGCTAAAAATAATAATTATTCCACCACACCACTATGTCAGGGTGTTGCTATGTGTTTGCTTGGGTGCTTTGGGTGCTTCCTAATTGGTAATTTATAAGCTCAATTTTACAGAGAATAGAGAAATAGAGAAAGAAATATTATTTAGAGTTATTTAGGGGTAAAAAAATACATTTCACAGTTTAGATTTTTTGTAACATTTATTTGTAATATAGTTTAAATTATTTAAAATCATCCTGTGGCCCCATGTTTGAGAACCACTTCTTTATGATATTCTAGTCATTAGATATGTCGGTAACGCTTAATTTTACAGTACAGTACTTACAGTGTACTTACCTAGAAAGTACTGGCTATAAGGTAAGTACATGGGTTAGGGGTAGGTTAAGGGTTAGTACTAGTTATTACCCAGTAATTGTAGTTACTAAAATAAGTACATAGTATGTACATGGGTAACAACTGTAAAAGGAAGCGTTACCGATATGTGTTGGGCCCCTATTTCAATACAAATCTGTGGGATTTTCACCCATTTTACCCTTTGTACTGCAAAACTTGTTCATATGATTTCTTATAAATGTAAACTAGCCACACAATTTGAGGTATCATTAAACTTCATAGCCTGAATATGCAGTTTGTTATGTTTAAAATGTAATACTTTATGTTGGTGATAATGAAAAGCCATTAATTCTACATATAAGCAGTAATGTAGCAATAGTACTGATGCACACACCACCAATCATAAGAATAGCAGGCCTATGTGTGTATATGAAGGGATTTATTTCGTTTAAAGCAGACAGAGAGGTCTTACCTTCAGCAGAGAGCCCTTGAACACTGACTCCTCTGGCCCCTAAGAAATTGAGACAAGCCTCCACATTCTCAATCTGAAAGACAAAAACAAAGAGATCAGCCATAGAGCAAACTCACCAGCACATGGCCATTACACTGAGGATGTGGACGGTTAATGTGATTGACCAGTGATGTCAGTGAGGCGGCTATTGAACCTCACACACATTCCTTACAGTATTAAAAGTTCAACAAAGTCTTTGCCTGCGATGGTTTCTTCTGAAGGTCGCCTTCAGTAATAGCAAACTTCAGTATGACAGCTCAACTGGTGTCCGTGTGGCTGACGCGCGCATGTCGATGTTGTGCGGGGATACGTCCACGGATTTATTCCCACAAAGGCTCTATTGTCAAGAGTCAGACAGTGTCATGACCCCTGGCTAACCTTTGTGGGTCGGACCCGGAGTGTGACTCTGGGATGGCAGTGTGTCACACCTACACATACGCTGACAGACGGGCCAGGCATGACATTGCGGGCTGTAATAATACAGCACTTGACTGAAAGTGTGGTATTATCATGGCGCCTCCACTCATGGGCACACAAAGGGACTTTAGCCATGTGATACAAATGGCTTGCATATTTTGCACTAGTACAGGGCAGAATGCTGGAGAAGTCGTACAGTCGGGTCAGATGTAGTCAATGGGCCAGACCGCACTATATTATTATGCGACAAGCTCAATACTATGTGGAATGCATTGTGCTGTGTGCTGGACCCTTGTGACAGAGGCGAAGGCAGTTGACTCAGCTCATATATGAGACCCCGAGGGGGTTGCCCCTGTGTATCTATAATACACAGTCTCACAAGGAAATGTCACTCTAGTAGCATTTTCCATTATTTGTATTACTATTTTAAATGCTGTTTTGAAGGGTATTGTAAAGAATCCTCAGATTTCACTTTAGACTGTGTATTAAGTGTTAATATGTCATACTGATACATAAAGAACTAAAACAATCTAAGTAGATCACATAAATAATAATTTAAAAAAAATTAACGGTTATGTACAATTAATAAATTGTAAAAATTAATTTAAGGGTTAGTTCACCCAAAAATGAAAATTAAGTCATTATTTACTCACCCCCATGATGTACCGACCCTGTAAGACATTCGTTCGTCTTCGGAACACAAATAAAGATATTTTTGATTAAATTTGAGAGGTGTATCACTGCTGCATAGGCTGCCTAAGGGATCGAAACTTGACGGCCCAGAAAGTCAATGAAGAAAATGTTTAAATATTCCATGCGACTACAGTGGCTCAAGTATAAGTTTATCAAGCAACGAGAATACTTTTTGTGCGAAAAAACAAACAAAAATAACGACTTTATTCGACTTTATTCGCCTATTGTAGGCCTGAGACGAGAATTCAAGAGATTTCCACGATGCATGCGCGAAAATTGCGATCTCCTTCAACAGAGGCGTAGCAAGCTTTTGAAAAGTGTGGGGGATGAATGTGTCATTTAAATTTGGGCATGTTACGTAGACCCCTGTCCCTCTAGGGGGGTTCGGGGGCATGCTCCCCCGCAAGAAAATTTGGTACATTTTAAGGTTAAATGCATCAATTTGGAGCACATTGAGAGCTCAAAATTAAGAGCTTCAACTGGATTCGACCCAGGCCTGTGCACATTGAACAACGAAAAAGCATTGACTTGTTGCTTACCTAAACAGGGCTCAAACATCTTTATAGTTATGATATAAAGTTTGTCATTATATTCTATATTACGCTATCAAAATTACAATACTTTTGTCCTAATTTCTTCACTTTTAAGAAATAAACCCTTGAGATTTTATTTAGGAGAAAACACAGAACACCATGCTGATCGTGTGAGCAAAGAGCGCGTTTTTTTTTTTTTTTTTTTTCAAATCACGCAGCATTACAAACAGAATGCCTAACGCAAGTCTACTGTTTATCCAAAAATACGAAATATAATAATGAAAACACTGGACATGTCAATAAAACATAAACATAACATCTTCCCAAACACATATCAAGCTTATTTAAAAACCTCGAAAGCATAAACACTCATTCAAAGTACCTGGAAAAGGGAGGGAGATGTAAACAACCATAAGTTCCCGCCTCCTCAGCACGAGCTGACCGATACATCTAACACATCAAGAGAGGCGGGACTTAAGGCAGAACAGCCAATCATCAGCCGGACACACTCAAAGCCGGTGTCATGTTTGAGAGGAGACAGCCGCAGCGAGCGCGCGCACACACACACACACACACACTGAGCGCCAGAGAAACGGAGGAGCGACTGTAGGAAGGCGTTTGTGTTAAACTGCGGAAAAACGGCAGAAAAAGTGCGGGTGTTGAACACTCTCACCGAGAAAAGTGTGGGTGTTAAAACACCCACATCCCCCACGGTTGCGACGCCCCTGTCCTTCAACTACTTCAGTTCAGTTCTCGCGCATGCGTCGTGGAAATCTCTTGAACTCTCGTCTCAGGCCTACAATAGTCGAATAAAGTCGAATAGTCGAATAAAGTCGTTATTTTTGTTTGTTTTTTCGCATTCTCGTCGCTTGATAACTTAAACTTATACTTGAGCCACTGTAGTCACATGGAATATTTAAACATTTTCGTCATTGACTTTCTGGTCCGTCAAGTTTCGATCCCTTAGGAAGCCTGTGTAGCAGTGATACACCTCTCAAATTTAATAAAAAAATATCTTCATTTGTGTTCCGAAGACGAACGTCTTACGGGGTTGGTACAGCATTGGGGTGAGTAATTAATGACTTAATTTTTTTGGGTGAACTAACCCTTTAATATGCATACTGCAAGGCAGATAAAATTGCAATACAATACTAAGAACTTGAGAAAAATACAAAATGCAAAAAAACCCCTAAAAACTAATTAAAATTTCAATTAGACCCAATATTTTTCTAACACCAGTCACATTTTAAGTTGAATGTTAGCTAATGTTTGTGTTTCATTAAACATGTTCAAATTAAATGCAAGCATTCAGAGTGAACAGAAATCGAACAAATTAATTCATACAGTGCTTTCATTAAAAAATCTGACCTTATCACATGGCCCTGGAACGCTATTCTAATTGGTCAATCACACCATTTTATGGTTAAAAATGTGTGTGTGTCATGTCACTCATATTTTGTCTCGCATTTTTTCAATTAGCCATGTAATATGTTGGATAATATCCAGTCAGCGAGTCCTTATATCTATAAAAATGACTCTTTAGAGTGTTTCTATTAAAATAAGGTTAAATATTCAAACTGGCAGTGTGTATATCTACCTGCCATTATTTACTAAAATGCTGTCGTTCTGCCGTGAAGGCCGAAAGGAACATAGTTTAATGTCATTCTCACAGCTGTCACAGATTTACAGTCTTTCACACAACTCCATCCATCCTCTGACCTCAGTGCCCCACAGCGTCCAGCATGGAGCCAGAAACATCCACACAGATCACATACAGTATTAACACCCACACACACTCGCAAACACACAGAAAGACGAATGAATGAGCAATTGTTAATGCGATCCGCATCGACAGCATCTTGCTTCTTCTTACATCTGTCCCGATGGCAAGTAGCCTGTTTTTCATATGACACACATCCCTCACACAGCCGCACATGCAAGGAACCTAATGCGCTTTTAACGTTTGATTATCTTCTCTCATAAACCTCTTCTTATGGCAACACATGTGTGGTGCACCAGAGATGGGCTGTTTTTCATTCAGACGACGCACATGGGCACCCGACTGCAAGTCCTGACCAAAAACTGATTCAGACATTCTCAACGAAGATGAAACGTACTTAACGCTAATGTGGTCGAACGCTAAACGCTTGCCTGGCATTTCAACCGCATCGTTTAATGCTTTTCTAGAGTGTTTATGATATACGATAGCTCATAATGTCTCAGCAGTGGACTGGACATTTGTTGCCGTCACCGAAAGCGCGAGCGGATGCTGTTGATTGACAGACGTGCGCGAATAGACATGGGGTTTGCGATTTAAAAGCGAGAAGATCATCAAGTTTGGTTTCCGTTACGGCTATAATCCCATAAGTACGATTGGAAATTCCACCCTCTTTTTAATAGCAGTCCCATCAACCCATCCCTCTGTTTATTTTTAGTCTGTCTCTCGGCCTGCAGTGATGTACACATACAGAAAGCGTGATTCTATACGCTAATGGCGAGCAGAGCTCTCGCCAGCTTTAGATGTTGAACCGCCGCTTGCCGAGCGGTTTTTCAAACCATGTGGGATTTTAACAACTCTCCAGGAAAGTCAGATCATCTGTTTTTCCGACATAAACTGACATTTTCCAGCACCAGATATGCCATTAAACGCAATTAGGGAGGAGAATGTTTTGATGAGGTATATTTTCACAAAATAATATTGAGAAATTTATAAGCAAGCACTTTTCAGGGCTGACACGGATGCAAACGGGATGGAAAATTACCACGAGTAGGCTTACATCCCTCGCTCGAAATGACAACGGCAAGCTGTTTAAGTTTACTGTCTCTGCGAGCTGCAACCGTCATAAATCTGATCATGTTTAATCTATACAACATACTTATCAGAGCGAGGCTTTAATGCAGAGTAAATGTTTGCACTCGGGTCCGGCTGTGTGGATCCAGATGCTGAGGGGCCCAAGCTAGCTGTGCGGGGACAGACTCCAAGCATATCATATATCCGTGGGGTGAGCGCTGGCTTTGGAAAGTGTTGCTGCTCCAACACTACCATGAAATACAAATGGTCTCTAGCCTCAATTATATGGCTTTCACTTAAAAACCGCTCGGAGCAAAGAGAACAGATAAATGCTGTTTTCTCCGGCACTTCTGTTGTTTTTTGTTTTTTTTTACAGAGAGACAGCTGCAGTCGTTTTGTACCATTTAATTTCCTCTGATCATAGTGACCACATACACATGAATTTGATGAGCTGTCCATAAGTACAATCAAAAAAGAAAAAGCCTGTGCAATAGAACATAATGGGTCTCATTGTCGAACAGGGTGTTTAATTTTTAAGTGGTTTTGTATATTGGTTTAATAGTTCAAAAGTCTTCAAATGTTTAAATTCCAAGGTAATAT